AGAGTTTGTTTCAAACTCTATTAGTGGATTTATACAACTTCAAACGTTTTCCAACGGAAAGGGTGGTTGGTGACGATCAAAAGTGTGTCGGAATCTAAAATTACTTCTTCCCTTCTTGCTAATTAAAATAGTCAGTTGAAAGAACTGTACTTTTAAAACAAAAAAGATAGAAACAATCACAATCCTTTTTGTTTTTATGATGCTTTTTCATTATATATATAATATAGAGAAAGAGAGAGAGAGATGAGGTTAGTAGATGATTATTGACGATAAAACTTTTAGTGGTAGTTTAATCACAGTATTCAAAGCACTCTCCGCGTTTAAAATGCAGGATAGCGACAGAGAGAGCTTCATAAAATATGGATACAGAAGGTGGGTGAAGAGAAATTGCAGACAGGCGAACGAGCGGCGTCGGAGCCACCTTTATTGATAGGCCTCTTACGTATTTTTTCGGGTGTATTTTTCAATTTCAAAGGGGGGATCCCCCATCTTCGAGGCCCGATATTCAGATGGCGCCGAGCGCGCGCGTATCGGTAAATAATGCATTTCTAGGCGAAGAATCCGCCGGCCGATTTATAGCGGCCGGAAATGAATAAAATATACTTTCATTTCGTCGCCGGTCGCGTATCTATCTCCCACTACATTTCCCATTCTTGTTTTACTAAATTCTCTATACACTTATGTTATTTAAATACAGTTTAATCTATGGTATCTTTCCATTATACCAATTTATTATTCATTTAAAAACTGTCATCTTTAACTTGAGACTGATTTAGTTGGGAACTGATTTATGCACAGTTATTGTAATTAATTGTAATAGCAATTGTATTGGTGCCAAAAACATCAAAGACAGATCTGATTAATTAAGATAGATCAAACATTATAAAGCAAAAAAGAGTTTTTGGCCGAATTGCAAACTGCAAGGTAAGATTACACTGGCACACTCTAGAATTTAAGAAAATTTCTGAAAATTTTCTGCCATACTTCAAACCGAATTACTCTAATAATGCTCCAGACTTTAAAAGCAAGTCTGGAATTACAACTATCAAATACCCAGTAGAAAAAAAGGGTTTGTACTTACCTTAACAATGGTCCAAGGTTTATGAAAATGTTAGTCTAAGTTAAGAAAATTTCTGGAATTTCAGGCATAAGTCTCCAGAGTACTCCAGAGTTCAAAAACAAGTCTGCCCAAGTCATTGGCTAACCAGAAGTGGTGTCAAAACTCCCTTGAGAGACATTCCAGCATTGCAAGAATACCTGAGGTGGTAAATGTGACCAGTTTAATAAATAAATTATGATAAGAATCTTTTTTAAAGTGATACAATAAAATATTCATACTAATTATTGAATAAATGATGATTCTCGTTATTCATTTCGATGTTAGGTTACGATAAGGTTTGCTAATTATTACAAATTGGGCGGTTGCGATTATGCGAAATCGCGCGTGTATACGCTAGATCCGGTAGGTCGATAAGCCTCCCTCGTACACACGTACCGATGATAATTGTGTTGCATGTGTGTAATAACCACGTTGCATGCTCGAGCGAATTTATTCACAGCGACCTGGCGTGATGAACACGCAGCAAACTCGATAATTGCCGTTGTCTTCTTTCCAATATTCGAACTAACACACCGTTAAATGCACCATTATATATAGATTTATATATAAAAAAATTATTGATGAATTGATTTTAAATAATTAATTATTGTTGTGTTCAAAGATGTTTTTTTATTTGGCTTAAAAGAATTTGATATTAATGTTGAATGATTACCTTGTATTGTTCGGTTGGCAACCGAGCCATTATTTTTCATGTTAATCGACCGCCTTTACGAAAGCTATTAGAAAACCGAAGGCAATTTCCCACGACAGACGATGACAAATGTCGAAGATTTACCAGTCTGCACACGGAAACGTCCAAAATTAACCACCGTCACGGACTGTGTTCGGGTGTTTTATTAATACATTATATTTTGCCCCAGTTTGAAAATTTAGTTTCCTTTTTAATCTTTTATCACCCCCATTCACGTATTATTAATTAATAAAGATGACCTTGATCTTTACCGATTTTTTTTTAAATTTCGCCTTATGACACCTTAATGTTCTCTACTCGACCTAAAGACACGATGGATAATTAAGAAGTCGCGCGTCGATTAACGATTAACGAAACGACGTTGTCCTTTAAAGTGAAAATGAAAAAATAAAATTAGGTCGATACATAAATCATTTTTTCTGAGTACCCTTGTATTAAAAAGACATACATCACGCGTTCGCTTATATTCACAATTTGACCTTTCCACACAGAATCGATGCCCAATTGCCGATGTCACCGTACCGATCTATAGTCCAACCCATCACCCAGAACAGAAATAGCCAATCGATGGCAACATTACTAAATTATTTCTTTATTACAGGAAGTATCGTTTAGAAACAAAGCAATTCGAAGCTTAAAAGTAAAATCAAATAAATGTACTACATATTTGGATCGCCCTCAAAGCACGTCAATGTATAATACAAGGCTGACGCTGATCGAAAACGTCATAAAATTAATATTCTGTATGATGCATGTCGATAAAATTTAATAAAATATTTACATATGTGATGATGTCAGTTGCTATATATTGATTCTATGAATGGTGAATTAGTTTTGATTCCAAATATAGATACTCCTAGATTATATTCAGAAAAAAAACTTTTAAGATACTTTTAAAAATGTGATACAGAAATCATTACTTAATATCTATAAATAAATGGATCTTGTGTCTTTGATTTTACAGTTATAATCGAATTAGTAACGATAATCAACAACTTTAACATTTTGGTGATTTATAATTTCTAACTAAAAAACAGTTATAATTAAGCTAAACCTGGTTATGTCTTCTGGGTCCATAATAAACAATTTTTCGTACAAAATATTTTTTTCTATCGCTTTTAGTTTTTGAGTTATGATCTACTCTAATAACGAGAATATTCAACTTTCATATTTTGTGGATTTAAAGTTTCTAATTAAAAAATTGTTACAATTAAGCTAAATCTGATTATGGATTATGTCTTTTGGATCCATAATAAACATTTTTTGTGCAAACTATGTGTTTCTATCACTTTTAGTTTTTGAGTTATGATCTACTCTAATAACGAGAATATTCAACTTCCATATTTTGTGGATTTAAAGTTTCTAACTAAAAAATTGTTACAATTAAGCTAAATCTGATTATGGATTATGTCTTCTGGATCCATAATAAACATTTTTTGTGCAAACTATGTTTTTCTATCACTTTTAGTTTTTGAGTTATGATCTACTCTAATAACGAGAATATTCAACTTTCATATTTTGTGGATTTAAAGTTTCTAACTAAAAAAATGTTGCAATTAAGCTAAATGTAGTTATGGGTTGTGTCTCCTGGATCCATAATAAACAGTATTTATACAAAATATTTTTTTCTATCGCTTTTAGTTTTTGAGTTATAACCTACTCTAATAACGGGAATATTCAACTTTCATATTTTGGTGATTTTCACTTTTTAACCATTATGAATTACATATATTTGCGTATTCAATATGAATTATATATGTATATTGCCAGTTTAACTATACATATTTTAATGCGGTTAATAATCATTAAAAATTTGTTGATCATAAGTAAAAGATGACGTTATTGGATACATAAACATCGTTGTAATACAATAACATACAAGATAAAATATTCTCGGGGTGATTAATGTTTGGGCATAAACAGGTTAAAGTTCCCGCGAGGTTATTGTTAAAGGGCATTACATCGTAGGGCATTGTAAAGCAACACATTAAGCGAACCATTAACGATCCACTAATTTGACCTCCACCTTATACTCTCCCGTTTATGAGTTCATTGTCTAAACCCATCCGAACGAAGATTGAATTATATTCGGCTGCGGGTTCGACGCGAACGTCTTGTCAAGTTGTTACCTTTCCATGGGTCGATATGTCGAAGGGGGTGTCCTTTTATTTCCGTCGAGGACGTACGTTTGTTCCATAAATCGATTTGCCGCGAACACAGAGTTCTCTCTGAACACACAGTTTTAGGTCTGTGTGTGAGCACGTTGTGACAATATAAACTCAAACCGCGCCGTAACCTCTTTCCTAACGGACAATATCTTGCGTTTTATACGACCTTAACGCTTTTAGGGTCGCACGTAAACCAACCTGTTTTACCGGCGAGTTTAACCAATTTTATATCAACCCCAGTTACTTTACGTTTTACATTTTATAATGTAAGGGTAGTATGTAAAAAAATAAATTATATGGGATTTTTTTAAAGGGCGGAGTATAAAAGGGCAGTTTATTTTTGCGAGCTATTCTTTATTTTTATGATCTATTTTGGTTGGAGAAATAATTGGAAGGATGCCATAAAGCGGCGCGTATTTGTATAAACGCGCGTATAAACGAAAGCGCCAGCTGTAATAAAGTCAGAGGGACACGCGATCCTCGTTCACCAAGAAAAAAAATGTACGATTGTTACCGCAGAGGATGATTTATAATAATTAGAAACGGTCACGGAAGGTTATATCAATTTTAAAACCATAAAAGCTGATTTTGAAGGAAATCAAGTGTCAAGGACATCATTCAAAAACACATTTCTTTTGAAACTGCAGCATTTTACGTCAACCCAAAATTAAAGCGTGCGGGTTAAAATTGGCAAAGCAAAGGTTTTTTAGGAACCTCAATATGATTATATCTCGCCGCACGTTTGTTGGTATAAAAAAAGTTTACACCGAGTTATTACTGATTCAACAGGTATGTTTAAAAGTTTTACTCTTTCGGAGTACAAATTTATTCCGTCTTACTTAAATTCTTCTTAATGGTTTATTGTAGGTCATTTTATCTTGAGTTGTAAGCAGGATGCGCTTAAATTGATTCCAAGGTTAAAACGTCTAATAATTACATTCACCGAGCTACTTTATGGTTCCAAACTCAATTGTGAAGTTGAGCGTGAAGAATATTTTTATTAAATTTTTTTGTTTCTTACCTTCATCCTGATTACTTCCAACCATAATCTCCAAGTCTTCATATTCCCCTTCTTTCAACATATCCATCGGATGTTTCGTAAGAAAATTTCCATCGATTGTAGGTGTTGATGGAAAGCCCAAAATCCCCGAATAAGAATTCCATTGTTGTACCGAAATGGTTTTAGCATCAACCGCTCTCATACAATCCATGACTTTATGAGGTTTACTGCTGAGTAACGTGATGTTACACCCGCAATCTTGAACCAAGATTTGGCCGATTTGTTGAGCTCTTTCCCCGGACATATAACTCCACGGTGCGTTCATCGTTCCCGATTGTAAAATTCCTCTTTTAGCTAGTCCTTTCGTAACGGGACTTAGAAGATGGATGCTGACCGATCCTCCCCCGGCAGATTCTCCGAATAAAGTTATTAGGTTTGGATCGCCACCGAAAGCGGCAGCGTTATCTTTAATCCATCGTATTGCTAACGCTTGGTCCCAAAGACCCATGTTTCCCGGAGCTTCTTCACTTCCTGGTCCAAAATGTTTGTTTAAATAGAGAAAACCGAATGCACCAACTCTATATTGCATGGAAGCAACTATGACGTCACTGCTTGCGGCAACGATGTCAGCGTCGTATATATCCAAAGTTGATGTACCACTCATGTATCCGCCACCATAAATCCAGACTAAAATCGGTACTTTTTGGCGTTCGTGAGTTGGTTTCTCAGCGTGGTGTCTTATTCGTAATTTTTGCGGAACCCAGATGTTTAGATACAAACAATCTTCCGAAATGTTTGTGTTGGGATTCCACATTTCCTCGCCATCGAATCCCGGGAAATATTCGTACCTTTCTTGGTAACAAGAATTAGGCAATTTTGTGGCATCGAGTATCCCATGCCATGGATCGATTGGAACCGGTCTTCTAAATCTTAATTGTTCAATAGGCGGTTTCGCGAACGGTATTCCGGTAAAAACGTGTACTTCCCTACTAAGAACCGTTTTGGCAAAACCGCGTACTAAACCGCTGGTCGTTTCGACAACAAGAGGATCAAAATGAAGATCTTTAGGAGACTGCTGAGGTCTCGCGGTGGTCTCCTCGCTGGGCCACGAATACCCGTTCACGGTTCCACAAACGGCGATCACGAAAAGCATCGCTGGCACCATTTTTTTGGCGGGAATTCTCACAGTTGATTTTGTTTATTTTTTTATTATTATTATGTTGTATAGATTGTACGTTTATAAAAACCCTATAGTTCCATATCGGCGGAAACGGCGCCAAAAACACTCGCGCGTCGCGACATCCGCCAGATAGAGCAGCGAGGTCGCGCGCAGCGGTCGCAGGCGGCGGCGAACTGTGAAGGACTGTGCCATGGCCGACACGATAAAGCTCGCGCAAGCTCACTGTCTAGCGATTTCGAGTGATTCGGCACGGACCGATGACGAGACCGTACACGCCGTTACCTTTTTTTTCGATTTCTTACTCTACTTCTGCTCTACAATAATCGACTGCAAACGAACAAGAAAAGAAACGAGATATTTTCAAACGTTTTATTTGTTCAAACGTGTTAAGAAATTAATTTTCTTGGCAACTGAAAAATTCTTTCAACTTTTCATTTCGACAACCTGATTTTAGTACGATTTATATTATACACTTTGGCAGAGTATCAACAACTATCTATAAAGATTACTGAAAATTTTGCTTTCTCTCTTTTCGATATTGAAAACAACAGTATTGTATGGCTGAAGTTAGATTGAAATTCCAAAATGCATTAATTTTAGATTCGTAAAGTTATGATCAGATAAGTAGTTAAAAAACAAAAAGGTGTCAATAAGCCCCACAGTTCTACAGTTTCTAGTTCTTATATAGGAAATCTAGAGATATCAATAGGCAGGAAAGGTCACAAACGGTCTACAGAAGTTATCTAGTGTAGTATCAAAGTGCTGCAGTTTCTGGGTTTTAAGGAAATAAATTCTATTGTATTCTACTAAAAATAAGGTATACTCAAAAATTCACCACACTGCTCCTATGGCAAAACTGGATTTGCAAACAGGCAGAAAAGAATCTAAATAGTTTACCATAATTATCTAGAGTAGTGTCAAAGTGTCTACTAAAAACGAGGTATATTTAAAAATTCACCCCTCAGCTCATATAGGAAATCTAGATATGCCAATATGCAGGATGAGTCATAAACGGTCTACAAGAATTATTTAGAGGAGTCTCAACGTACTGCAAATTCTGATTCTTGAGGAAATAGATTCTAAGTTTACTACTAAAAACGAAGTATATTTAAAAATTCACCTCTCAGCTCATATAGTAAATCTAGAGATATCAATAGGCAGAAAAGGTTCTAAATACAAGAGTAGTCTCAAAGGGCTGCAGTTTCTGGTTCTTAAGGAAATAAATTCTAAGTATACGACTAAAAACTGGATATATTCAAAAATTCACCCCACTGCACCTATGGCAAAACTGGATTAGCAAACAGACAGAGAAGGTTCTACATAATTTACTACAATTATCTAGAGTAGTATCAAAGTGCTGCAGCTTCTTCTATATTCAAAAATTCATCCTACTGCTTCTATGAGAAAATTGAGAGGTTATAAAACCTGTTATGACATGGGCCCGTAAAAGAAGATGGAAATGGAGATGTCTGAAGGTAAGATGAAGAAGATTCATCCCTAGTTTTTATTTTTATTAATTATATAGACTACAAATTTCTTTAGAAGTACTTATAAAGGAAGATTTTGTACTTATATTTCTTTTTGTAATGAGTATTTGTATATATAGATAATTATGTGATAGAAATGCATGTTTAAAGAGGAATACGATAGGATGGACTAATAGCCTCGGGCTTTTCATTCCCCGAATGAGTCGGTGGTTGGTTTCAAGGGGATCTTTTATACATTGCGACGTTCTAATCCAGTTTGTGGGCGCGGGGGTGCGCGCGCTCCAGTCGCTATTCATAAGAATTCAGGCGGCGTCGGCCTGTTCGGCCCTCGCTAACTCGATTTATCATTCCGGTGTCCCGTATTAAGCTATTAGAAATGATATATACGCGAGGCGGCGTCCGTCCCTTGAAATTTTTATAAAACTGCCGTCCCTGAATCGTCGATGTGTGGAAAATAGATTTCGGACGAGCGATTTTCTTTAGACCGTTCGTTTATCGCATTTATTTTTAATCGGTATAATTTATTCTTGTCTTTAACTAATTGATGTAACGTTTCAATTTCGGGCGGAAAGGCTCGGATGTAGGTCATGGCCTAAAAATATTTGCCCCCTTACAATCCAATCCGTTGAGAATCGATTGGCGTGGGGGCTCGGCGAGTAATTTTAAATGCAAACGGACGAACCGGGAAAATATTTACGTTGCCCGGTGCTAATTTGCTAACCGAAAACACTTCTCAATTTAGTACTTTAACAATTCCAACGGTGAGCCATCATCTTTAACGTACGTTTACTTATGCATCGTTGTTCATGGACGCGTATTCCCAAAGGGACAAAACGACCATAATTCCAACCGAAATTGGATTCACGTATTTATGAAACTGCCTGCACAAACGCGCGATACTCCAAGACATCGTCGCCGATAACAAAGGGATGGTTCTTTTGAGGGTAAATCGGTGAGATTTCACGATTGCTGCGGCTCGTAACGCGATTTTACTAGATCGTTACCTCCACAGGCAAAAGTGTAATAACCAAGTGAAACGCGAACCTTTTCTTCGTTATGCAAAAGGCTTTGCTGTTTTACGACGTGATTTTTCTAGTACCTCATTAAACGGTTCGTTATGAACCAACTTTTACCTTGCTTTATTAAAAGTTAATTATTTACGCAAAAAATGAACTACTATTGTTAGTTTTATTTCTTTTTTTAGCCGAACAAGATCTACTTTAATTACGCGAAAAACAGTTTCTTTCATTTTAAAAAGAGTACAATCTAATTAGCAAACCCAGTTTTCGCGAAATGAAATTTCACACAAGAGAATGGCGGAATGCAACGATTTCAACAGTTCCACACAAACGATCCTCTTTAAAAAGTGCAAAAAAAGGGAAAAGCATCCGACAGTGTGTGTGCAAAGCGCACTCGCAATATAGCTATGAGCCAACAAACGATACCGGAGTTGATTGCCGCAGTTGGGTGCGCGCTTAATGATTCGAGTTAAGCATCTATCCTTTTCTCGTATTTGATATACCTACTAGCTAACAGAACCGACAGAGATTCTCGTGTGGACGTTGCAACCACAGTGTGACAAAGGCTCAACGAGATAATGCGCACCAATTGCGTCAATTGATTCTTCCTGTTTTCTTTTTTTCATCATCAGTTACTAAATTGAGAGTGCGTTGACGTTGATGTATGGACTAATGTTAAAATAAAGAAATATAAAATAAGAAAGACTGGAGAAAGTTGTTAATTTTTCGTCCAGGGGAGCATAACAATAACAGCGCGTTTGAGCCGATTAAAGCAAAACGCTCTTTACCGGGGTACTGTAGAAACGATGTTTGGAAGTTCGCGAAGTAACTCGACGGCCGACTTGGGAAATTTTAATAATGCAAATTGAAACGGCCCGGAACTCGGTCTGCGTGCAAAAAGCGGAAACGGTTTATTGTGTCCCTTAAAGCGCCGCGTTGTTTTTCCCCTTCGTTCGCTTAAATCCCGTCGCTCTTCATTGTCAACGTTTCGTTTAATGCCCGCGGCCCAACGCCAACTTCTTCTTCCCCTCCTCTATTTCGACCACTTGTGGCACTCGAACCTCATTCCCTGACCGTTTCATCGACTTTATCTCACACGGAATTAAACGGAAAGATGAAAGATCATTTGCCACTAGCGAAGAAACCATCTATCCACGTCACCCCATTTACCTTTTTAAGTTATCGTCTCCGATGTATATAATCGACCTCGATGATTATGGACTTGATTTATAAGGCAATCACCGCCACGCTCCAAATTTTGTGTCATTATCATCCTTATAAATTCTCTTTCAGGTTCTCGTTTACACTTTTTATTGAGATTTATAGTCAACTTGATCATAGTTCAAATATTTATATCACATATTCTTAATAGTTATCATCTTGACAATTTTAAAACATCAACTAAATTTTTAAATTCAAAAAATAATTCATTTCGTTTTATCAAAATATAACACAATTATCAAAAAAGGGGTAAATATTAAACTACGACTGACTTATTTACTGCTTTGGCTTCTCCTCATCGAAACTAGTTTTTGGTGCCGTTAAGTCCCAACTAACTCATTTTTGTGAGCTTAAAACCGATATTTAGAGATCAGCAAAAGCATCAATGTCTCGAAACTTCGTGATCACAATATGTATTTAGATTATTACTCTTTCACACTTTTGAAGACGTAGTTCAAAAATATGACCTTCTGTGAATAAAATATGTCCCTCATCACCTATGTACTTGGAACGCTGTAACGAATTTTATATTATCTTACAGCACTGTCTAATCGTATACCTTTCCTTCTTCATTCCTTGCTTTGAAATCACCTCCAATTTCCGTTTTCCTTCATGTATTATGTAATCTACAACTATCACAGTTAAAGCATTGCGATGCATGTACTTGAAAGGATGTAATGAAATGACGTAGGTGCGATGAAAGTGAAGTCTCTTATAACACAAGTCATTTCTTAATACACAGTTTTTGAAGTTAAACGGGAGTTGAGAGAATGATACATTTTTATGCAGAATTGTATTTTGAACAACGAGACGAAAGGTAAAAATAAAAATTGGGTTCTACTCGATATACACATTTCGATTCGGCTTTTATGTACATTGTACAACCCTCGACAATAGCCAACATAGCGTCGACAATACATCAATTCGCAGTCGCATGCCAGTGGATTAATGGATGAAAATGCGAAATCAATATCTCGCCTTACAATTACAGTGTACAAGGACGAACTGGTGTGCACTCGGTTCGGTCGAAAATCGACCAGTTTTCGCTACGATTTTTACTATTTCAACGATTCTAGTCTCTTCTTTAATTTAATTTTAATTTTAATCGTCCTAGTATTTTAATTGTTCTAAAATTTCAATTATCACTCCATTTTAATTATCACGTTGTCCCTTTTTACTCGTAAAGGTTAATACGAGCGATTTAACATTTCAAATAAACAAGTTTCAACTGATTGCGTTGGGGAGGTAAAGGAAGCCGCGGTATTTTTCAAAGACAAACTTTCCGGGTAAAATTTATGCCAGTAAAAGACCGAAGCTCGCACGAAGCAACAGTTAAACTCCAAGAATTACGGAAGTTGGCAATAAAATAAACTCCAACGGAGATGGAAAATACTAAACGCGTAAGTCTATTTACCGGAAAATGGTTGGTACCGTTAAATTAATTAATCATTTCTCAATTTTTTTTTTCGTTTCACTTTTCGAGTTCCATTTTCTGTTTCCATAGTGTACATTTTAAAACTACCTCTGGGTAGTGTCAAAGGGGGTTTACCAGGAGGCGTTGGAGTCGCGCAGCGCCTTTCGACGCGTCACGTTCCCGTCTCGTCAGCAGCTCACATCAAAGGCGTTGGAGAAGACGTGATCCGAGAACGAGTTCGTACAGCTCTCGCTCCAAGCGAGAGACAAGTTGCCACAGGCACAGGTGAGAGGCCTCTTTATTGATTTTCTGCCTGTCCGCTGGTAGAGGTACAGTAGGCTGAGCTGCTGGTAACCGCTGCCCAGGACGCGGCGGCGCTGCAAGCGTAAACTGAAAAGAGCGAAAAGGATAGGAATAGAGAAAGAACAAATTAGAATAAGTATCAAAAGTCATTTTAAAATAAGTACATGAATTAAATAGTTAACATCAAAATAACATGAAATAACATCCCAAATAGTTCCAAAATCATATATCTCCATATATTGTTTGAGACTCGTTCTAAAAATGTTTAAAGTATAACCTTTATAAAAATAATGACCCGTTTTAGGGTTTGTTCGTAACAGGATGCGATAAAATCGGGTAATTTAGTGGGCGGGTAACCGGATTTTTTTTACCAACATGGTGAGGCTGCGGCGTTCTTTTTAAAAGCCGTCCCAGCCACTAGTTGCTGGGTTTATTAAATTGCCGCACACGACGCGGCGTGTATTATTTCTCGAGGGCATCGAGAGTGCCTGATTACACTTTATGCGCCCAAAGCTAAAAGGTATGCTAATACAAACTATGTATATTGCATCGCGACGAAACGCGTGCTTTATGAAATTAAGATGCCCCATTCTCGATTGCTCATTTACCGGATGGGGTCATCCCACCCTTTTGAGTTATTATGCTCGTCTCATTCATCGTCGTTAAAAATTTAATTTTTTTAGTTTATAGAAAAAAAGTACATGAAAAGGTTCATTTAAGAAGTCGTTGTAACCCATAACCATTTCTAGCGGGCCGTACATCAGCCACTTGGCGTGATGTTTCACTTTCTGCAAAACGAGATGAGAGTAATGAAACGGAACGGAGCTGGTGGTTCCGAGGAAGCGCACAGGGGTTGAAGTGCCGAGTCGCTCGCAAACTCCATCTCTCGGTAAACGCCGCGTTTCATATTTTATAAGAGGATATAAATTCGGGGTGAGCTAAGGGGTCGACGAACAATGCGGCAACAAAGATCTAGTCCGAGGAGTTCGTCGAACTTGAGCCACTTGGCAATTATTCACATTTCCACGATGCGAGATTCGAGAGGTTCGTTCATAATTTAAGATCGGGTTAAGACAAACGTTGGAGCAGGAACGGGGCGAGGAAGAGATTATTAAAAGGTGGATTATATAAATTGAAAGAAGGTTTTAATACGGTAACGAGGGATGAACGGAAGAAGATAAGATTGTTCTATACGCGGTTGTTGTTGTCCCTTTACAGGTGGCTTAAACCGAAATAATCCGGAGATTTGTTCGAGCATGTTCCGCATTGTAAGGGTAAGGTAAATATTGGAGTTCTCCGCTTGTTTCGTCGTTGCTCAAAAAGCGGTTCGTTCCGGTTGGATTTGGAAGTACGTCAATTGAATGTATTATTTGGCCAATTTATGCATTTCCTTCTATAAGTATATTTTTCGATATTTCTTGATAATTACCCCGTCGATACCAGCTGGAATCCAGTGGTATAATTGAGGCGCGGCGATGAGCCGAGGATCCAGTTTGACTACCTATAATGAATGCAATGAATACTAATAACGTAGTAGATCAATATTTCATCCGGAAACTGAAACCCGACCGCCGCTAGTGGCGGCGCCCCCGTTTCAGCAACGAGTTGTGGAAGGGGGCGATTAGTCGAAATGAAGTAGCGCCGAGGCACTACCGGAGCGTCCTCAAGACCTGCTGTTGCTGGACCAGTTTCACAGCAACAAGTTCCTACTGCCAGTAAATACGAATTACCGCCAATTTAGGACCTGAAACGAAATTCTTTGCCGCTCCTATTCAATTCCAAGTCAGGGTATTTACTGAGAATACTCTCGACCTATTAATTTTCAGCCTATTTCTTTAAAACAAGTACCTCTTACGAGGAGAAAACAAATACCTTAAGATAAAAGAAATTGAGATTAACGTTCACATCTAATGATTGCTTCTGCAATAATCTTTCTTTGTTTAATCTAAGACATGACTATTAAGACAACACGGTTAAAAACAGTTTCTCACTCAATATTAGTGATGGAACGGATAGTAACTCATATTCCAAGGAGTGGATTTTATACGAATTTTTAAAACTTTTTTCAAAATGGCTTTTTGCATTAAGAAGAGAATACTTTAATTAATAATCGAAAGTGATAACAGCGACAGTTCTCTTAGTAATGAATGTGATGATGAGTTACAAGCGAAGAGAAGGAAACTAGACGAAACTGCAACAAGAGATTTTATATATCGTATTGGGATTGTTACAATGAGGTTGCTAAAGACAAACCTGATATAAATAAAGTTGTATTCAATGAAAAAAGTCCTATTGGGGTTGAACTTGATTATTATCTGCAGTGTCCAACACCTAAAAGAGATACTAATTCCTATGAATGGTGGAGTACTAAGTAATAGGTTTTTAATATCCGGCCAAAGCCGAATATCTGAATAAAAAATGGCCGGATATCTGTTCCATCACTACTCAATACCTATTACAAGCAAGTGTTAAAACTGGTAGACCTGGTAAGAACCCTGTTAGTGTAGAAGCTTTATTTTATTGTCGTTGCGTTGAAACTAACAAAATTGATCATTCTTGATGTTTCACAATTTTTCAAGAAAATATAACCAAAAGAAATTCTAATGAAGCAATTTATATTCAAGATATAAAAATAAATCGTCACAATGACTTTGATTCTTTTTTGTGACTTAAATTTACATAGAGTAAGCGTCAACGAGTGCTCTTATTATTGTTATTAAGGGTGACACTCGTCGAGCAATCACGTTTAATTCGCGTAGACGTGAAGCTTAATTACCAAGTTAATGTCGTAATTACTGTTCAGAAGTCGTAATCCGATTGTCTGGGCACGTATTTTACTGACTTTGACTTGCGATTTAAAGAAAATTAAATCTATATTAATGAATCGCAATTTTGATGGGATCCTTTTTTTGTTAGATACGAAAAAACTCGATGGTTCATGTATTATATCGATCGGAGCCCTTCAGAAATGTTGGGGATTTGATGATGTCGCCGTCGTAGTTGGAAATTTACATATACTGTTTTCGGTAGTGTTTACCTACCTCAAATATCAAGGGAACGAGAATGTTTTTAATCAACGAAAATTTCGTTGTTGAGTGGATGGTGCATTAAATTAATTGAATCCGCGCGCGCAACTAATTATATGTCATCATCATCATTAAAAAAAAATTAAAGTAATATTGAGAACCCGATAAATGGACCTTTTTATAGTTGGATGATAAAAAATTCCTTGGCAGACGCCGTAATTAAAATTCGCGGCCACGAGGAGTATTTCGAAGTGGAACGTGCAGCGCGATTCGTGTTCTTTGGGGTTTCACCAACAAAACGCAACGTTGCTCGGTAACACTAATTAGTTTTCCGCTGTGGAATGGAAATTTCGGGACGAAGATGTGGAAAAAACTCAACAACCATCCGAACATGACCTTGTATCATTAAAAATCCTAAATTGTTTTTTAAATTAATTAAAATATAGTTTTAAGAGTAACTTTTGATTGAGTATCTTCATCTATCAATTTCACAATTAGTTTCGCAAGAAGTTCTTTTTCCTTAGTGTGTATATCGCGTGTTTCTGATAAAAGATTATAGCTGGAAATAAATTGTTGAAGGTTGCGTATTCAAAACAACGGAAAATTTGTGTAAATGGGAATAATTTCCTCTTTGAATACATCATATTGCTGAAAATAAAATAAATTAAATTATTAAAGTATAATAAATAAATAAAATTAAATTAAATAATAAAAATAAAAAATTTTTTGGATCAATTAAAAAGCTGTTACCAAGCCAATAAACTTGAACGTTTCTCGCGCCTCTTTTCGTGAAAATGGCCTCATGGCGTGTTACATAGAACGACGGGCGCATTTTAAGGGATAATTGCTAATTTAATAGCCCTTCGCTTAATCCCGAAAAAAACTTCACCCGTTTTCTTTTTTGATTGTTGAAATTTTTTTTATTTTGTACACATCTACATCTAAGAAGTACATTATGTAGCATAGTTTCTGCTGCGTTTCTTCTACGATTTAATACAATTAATGTTAAGAAGGTGTACGTTTAAAGACTTTAACACACACACATATTTTTATTTTATAATTCTTTTTGTAAATGGGATGTGCACCTCATAATACTGTTTGTATTTGGACACCGGAAGTATCCATGAATATAATCTAAAATTAAAAAAGTAATTACAATAATTAATTTAAACTAATAAATTATTTTTTACCTATGCCACCATAGATTAAACCTCAATTTTTGGACAATTAAAAGTTGCTTGATCACCACTGGATACTATTTTCATTGTGATGATGACGGAATTGTCGAAAGCTCCACTGGACACTAACCGCACGACCGTATAGTCGCAATTGATGACTTCTGTATGTCTACCTGAAAATAAATGGATTTGAAAATGAATGGTAAAAACTTGGGTTGAGTTTAAACCGTGCCGACACGGCTTGGAACAACTATAAATCGAAATAAAAAATGAAGAAAATCCGTTTCGCCAGGTTGGAACGTAATGAAATTACCGGTTTGTTGGCGTGCTACGAACGGTAAATAGGTAGCAGTACTACTTTGCATGTCGAGAAAACATCTGATTAGGAGGAACAGAAATCATTTTGATTATCGAAAAAGAAAATATCAATAAATAAACCGAAAATTAAGTTGTCTCACAAGCTTTTCTTATAGATTAATCTAAATTTTTAAGTTATTGACTCAAATTATTTTACTAATTTCTCAAAAAATTTAGTTAAAATTATTTTTAATCGATTTAAAATTAAATTCCGAGTTATTTAAGTCCAAACACGATTAGTTTATATTAAAAACTTACAAAGATTCATGAAATTAATACAAATTAAAATTAAAGATTACATTATTTGTCAAAATTACATTATTTTAACTAAAATATAGGTTATTAAATTACAAGATTTTTAATAAATTTTTAAGTTATCGATTTAAATCAATTTTTTAATTTTCTAAAATTTGGAGTTTACTTCATAAAAAGGAAATAAAGTTAAATTTGGATATATAAAATATAAACTGCAACGTTTTTGTGTGTTTAAATGTAAAAGCTTTAATCCGAGCTTTACAATTTACAAGGTTTTTATCAGAGTCTTGATATATAACCTTATGACATTTATGGGATGTGTTTTTTCCGTGATTTTTATTATTCCAAATAACAAAATGACCCGGAAACGATATCATTTGTTTTGCGCCCGAAATAAACAGGTTTTATTGGTCAAATTCGGCCACGAGTTTTAAATATTTACGCAAAAACATTACGGATGCATACATCCCATCTATAAAATATACATTTTACGACTATTTCGTCAACTCTATTGCTTAAACACAGTTTTGAATTTAAAGGTTATTTATTTAAACGGCATCAATTGAATTGTAGTTTTCGGTATCGATAGATTAAAGTGCAATTTAATGAAGGAAACTAAACGGGATATACAAAAACCGATCGATTCTCCTCGTGCCGACGTCCGATTAAAACCCAATAATAATAATTGTAGGGACCCTAACAGAAACAGGTGCGGCACCTGAATTCAACGTTCGCCTGCTTTCGTTTCTGTTCAGGTCAAGGATAAAACGGAAAAGCGAGGAGAAAGATGGAAAATGTCGTACCTAGACGAGGCATCGCCAATTATTTATAAACATTAATTTTCGAAATATTTTTCAGAACCCCGGCGCCTCCACCGTAAAAATCAATAAAAAATATACGTTAAAATTTAAAGTTTAACTTACTGGCTTTTGAATCCATACCGCAAACGGCATCTGTTAAAAGTAATTGAGAAGTATCGAGTGATGTGGAACCTCCAATTTGTAGAAAATCATCCAGACCTCTTTTATTGCACTGCAAGAAAAGAGAAATGTTAAATTTTACCGTTTAACCCTAGGTGGTGTTCGTTGCGATGTGATATTGATTTTAAAAGCGCTCTCTATCATCGAAATTCTTAAACGTTTATTATAAAGAATCCTTATTCTAAAAATTAAATTAATTTTATAGATTTAATAAGGTAGATATTTTAATTTTCTTTTCTTGTAGATCCACTTTCAAGCAAACTCTAATTCCAAACCCAAAACTTGTACGAAACTTCTTAGTTAGTACCTACAATTCCACATTGAAAGTTTCAAATGAGCAAAGTTTAAAACTTCCAACACAATTACATTACCGTTATGTTTGTCGTGTTATAACGAAAATTAAATCATCGCTTCGATTTTCACACGTTTGATCTTTTAAACTTTTAAACCTACATTATCTCGTTTAAATGTTAATCAACTTGCACGAATAAATTTAAATAACCTACAGCTTTTGTCATGCATCACCTGTAACCGCACCTTGTGAACGGTGCCAGTTTCAAGCTCGATCCCTTTGCCCATCGTTGAAACAACACCAACGCTTAAACTTAAAACACGAACTTCAGCCGGAAATAAACTGACAATTGTACAATTCGATCTTGAAGCGTAGTTACGGAGTGTTAATGTTGCTTCGAAATCTTGTAGCAATACATTACAAGCTGAAAAATGATAATAAATATAATTATTGAGATATATAGGATTGATAAGCTTGATCGATTCAAATTAGTTATCGAAAGTTTTGAAACTTGTACTCTAAGACAACTTCTCCGGTTCACTAACTAGAACGTTTCAAACGTTTCAATTTCAGTTTTGAACCAACACTCGTGTTATCTTACAAGTTTCAAAATATCCGCGGAGACATTGAATGACGTTTTAACTAAAAACTTTCTGTTGGAACCTAAATCCTTTCGAAATATTATCTGGGGGTATATTGAATTGCGATTTCAGAGGATTTTTAACTCTTAAAGGAGGGCTTAAATATTGAATTGGACGCCGGACGGTAGAAAGACGTTCAATATTGCAGGACTAAGAAAAAGATCGCTTGAAAATATTGCGTTTTTCTTTTTTAGTTGAATACTTACGTCTTGGATTTTTCAAGAACCTTATTGAAAAACGAAACCCGCTGTTCCTGCGAGGCATCCTATATAAAATCATGGCCGCGTTTTGCGTGGTCCTGAAACCATCTTTGATTTTTCTACGCCCGCAAACTTCTAAAACTCGACTATTTGGATTTGGATGATCAAACTCGTTTGGGAATATCTCCCCATTCATCTCCCACCCGTCTAAAAGCTACAATAAATCTCATTTGGACTGCAACAAACGAAAAAGAAAACTTACGCTAATCGCTCCATCGTTTTCACATGGTACATCCAAATAGGACACTTTCAACTCGATTTTTTCATCTGGTGCTGTAAATATGTAAATCCCACACGTGTTGTTCACGTGGCTCGCCGTGTGATAAAACACGCCTTCTTCCGTTATCATTTCCATGCATTCTAAAAAGAAAAATGTTGGAATTTCAAAAATTGCATAAAAAGTAAATTGGAAATAATAAAGTTTTCTTTAAAAAGAACTTCCTCGTATCTCTTTGACTTGGAAAGGTAGTCAAAAGGGAATGCAGGATGCATTATTTATTTCGATGAAAAATTTGAAATGTAAGTAAGTGCACGAATAGATTACAGAAATTCGTCGTCGTCTTTCGACTCAAACCTAAATTTTATCAAAAAATATAATAATTATCGAGTCAAAAATGGAATTTTACGCTCACTAAACTGCACAATTTTGATTGTACGTACATCGTTGCTAATTAACAATGTCACAAAAGAGATTCTTTTTTATCCCAAAAATTTTTTTTAATTAAATATAATTAACGACCGCCCATTTTTTGTTAGGGTTCCGAATGTTTCTATTTCTAGGTCTAGTGTTAGTTCTAATTTTAGTTTAATGAAAAATATGTAACAATTTAATGCTGAATAACAACTAGAATAGCCTAAGAGACGTTCGGCTAAACCCGAATATTTCTAGTCCTAGTTTTAGAGTTAGTTTTACCTGTAGTACAATAAAAATATATAAAAATTTAGCGTTAAATAAAAATTAAAACTAGAACTAACGCTAGACCTAGAATTAGAAAGCTTCTGGTTTAGCCGTGCGTCTTCAGACTGCCTCAATATTTCTAGCCTACTTGATCTTTGTTGTAGTAGTCTCAATTTAAAAGCCTCATCCGGTATATAGGGTTAAATTCGTTATCGGATAAATTTTCTCTTTAATTAAAAAAGATCTATAAAAAAATAGGATTTTACGCTCATTAAACTGCATAATTTCGATCGTAGGTACACCGTGCCTAATTAAAAATGTTACAAAAGAGAACCTTTTTAACGAGGGATTAACCCAAGAAAAGGATTTTCTATTTTTTGTGTTATTAATACTGTTAATATTTTAAAATATTTTTTAATATATTAAAAATATAATCTTGAAGTTTTTGTAGTTTTTACGTTTTAAATAGAGATTGATAGATAAATCGTGTCAAAACCACAATTTATCCGCTTTAATAGCTACGCGATAAAAATTGGTTACATCGCGATAAAAAAAACTAATTTTAAAAGCGATTTTGTTTCATAGTCATTTTTATATCCACAAAATTTTTTAAATTTTAAACTTTTCCCGGCGCCTCCGCCAAAATATCGAAACACATCATTGGATCATTAATTTAACAAAAGTAAATTTCCTGTTCATTAAGTACTAAAACGTCAATGCATGGTTGATGTAGTAATTTCCATGGTATTTGATGTGGTGTATGTCGTTTACCTATTATGGCTGTCTCACTTGATCGCCTACGTCTACTTGAAACACCCTCTGGTTTATCGATGGATTGAAATCTATGCCTTAAGAACTCCAATCCATGCTTGTTACTCAACTGTAATAAAACAAATTAATATAAAAAAAGTATTAAGTAGCGTTATAAAAGATGGAAGGCAAATTAACTTAGTTTAGGAGATTACCATCTCGTAAAGAAGAACGATCTCTCGTTATTAATTTTCAACACTTTGTTACTTTTCCAAGAACATGGTGCATTAATTATGGCGTAAAGTAACTATTTTTTCTTTGTTTTATATCTTGAAAGTTTTACCTAATTATAACTAAATTCGATATATAATAAAGAAAATCCATTTTTGTGTAGTGTTGTACACAAAAAGAAGTGTTTACAAAGGATTATTTTTATTGAGAAATCAAACCAAGACGATTTGACATCGACTGACAAATTCCTTAAGAATCATCTTGACACATGTATCGTCTTTTTAATAATCCAATCTCGCATTAATCTTGTAACCGAATTGTAATTGAAGAGAGGTTTGCGGCTTTAAAACCACACATAAACTCGAACGGTGAACAAACTATTTTCTATGTTACTGACAACATTGTTAACTTTGTTCTTTTTTTAACTTTAAGTGCAAAATAATGAGGTAAATAATCTGTAGCATCGAGTATCGAATCTCTTTTATGAATATTCATGAGAATAAAATTATTCCGACAAATTCTGAGACTTTTATACCTGGATATTTATGTGAAAGCCCGTATTAATTTAATGAACCCATAATATTCCAACCTCGAACGAATTGATACTCTCGTCAATAATATACTATACGAATTTCTGGAAAAAAAAGGTAAAAAGAAATGGAGGTAAAAAATACGTCAGTATTTTTCTGCGAATTCGACCGGCTTCAACTTAAATACACTTTTATTTAACGCGGAAAGGAAATGAGGCGTATTTCAAGTATTCCGGTTAAATAAAAAGAAGTGATTTCTATATTTAAATACGGGATAAGTTAGAACAAAAAATGTTGGGTATTAACCCGAGGAGCTACAACTGATACTATTTAGATTAACACATAGTGTGATTAGACGATTTTATGTGATTAAGCCGAGGTCACTTATGGCCGAGGCAATATAACTGTTGCAACATTGGATAAGAACTTGGTAAGGCCTCGAAATATGTGTGGTCCAATATTAAATCGATGATGAGAAAAATGATAAATCAAGACGTATTAAGATTTTCAAGTTTAGGATATACTCTGAGAATTGAGACTGTTCTTCAAGAATTACTAAGTTAAACCGACGGAATTTTAAAAATAAACGTAAAATGTAGCTAATTAAATGAAGTTTTATATAAAGCGACAGTGTTTTATGTCAATCTAATTTTTATTTATAGGCAATTTCTGGCGTTAGCAAACAATCTAAGTTATAAACTATTAGCTAAAGTACCTGTTAGTTACGTGTCATCATCAAATTACTTTCGCGTTTATTTAAGCTTACCCGAAAGTACGAAAGCTTTTTTGATAAAGCTTATCAATGACATATTTATTTGCTACGTGTCTCCTCTAAATGGCCTAATTAATTTGTGACGTTAACTTAATCGCGATGTACCATAAAATTCGAAAAAGTCTTTTTTATAACAGTAAAGTACGTTTTGTTTTTTTTTTCTGTTTTCGCGGAGAGTTGCCCAAGGATAACACACCACAGGGAGTTGTCTACAGAATGTCTAGTCACTGCACCCTATGGAGCAATGATTAATGGATAGCATCGTTTGTAAAGACTTAATTCAATCTTTTCAAATAAAGCAAAAAAAAATCGGAATTTTGGTAATGATTTAGTTGGAGTTTAGTTGCAACCGAACGTGTTTCCTGTGGGATACAGACTTTGCTACAACAACACTGTTTCGGCAACAAAGCAATTAATTTCCATCTGTCTAACTTTACACTATATAACTTTACTGTTACACACAGAACGTGTTTGATTAATAAAATATTAGTGAAAAGTTAGTTTAGAATTTAAAAATTAAAAACTTACCTTAGATTGGGTTATTAAAGGTGTTGATAAACACTCTTCGGCAAAGAAGACACAACAGCAGGACAAAACGGTTACGGTCCAGAGGATCATGATGAAGATGATCGAAGGGAACACGTAGACCTAAAGGTGGAGGAAAGCAGCGCCCGTTTGTAAGCGTTTTCGACCGGGCGTCGGGTTTAAATACGCGCGATGCCGGCGGCGTCGCGACGCTCCGCGATGCGCCGTGGTTCGGACGCCTCCTCCATAATACGCCCGCCACCGTCCATCTACTTCCTCTTCACAGAAAAAGACTGATGAGTGTTGAAGGTCAATTTCCGAATCGAATTAAAAAGGATCAAGATGCAGTTATGAATGAAATCTCGTGGTATACTTTTTGGTGTAGGTCAAGCAATTTTATTTATTTTTCTTCTTTATATCTAAAAGAAACAATTAACGATAAAAAATAATAATAAATGAGAATAGATGGGTTTTAGCGAGTTTTGTTTTGATGCTTTTTAGGGGAGCATTGAAATATGGAATATTGTGAGAGAAAAGCTTTTAGATTAACCGTGAACTACTAACCCAGACATGAGAAGGTCGTTTCGTGCTTTTAACAAAAAGTTAAAAAAAAATAGTAAAGCGAATAAATTTAATTAAAAAATTATTCTTAAAAAAAGTTTTTGTGAGTATTTTGGGATAAATTATCAACGAACTTTTGGAATGCCCTAAATTTAGAGATTTTACTGCGGATGTAGTGTACAAACACGTTTTTACCGGCGTCGTTAACACCTTTTTATTTGTTACCTGTGGAGGAGGGAAATTGAGTGCATAGCTGAGATTTTTTCGATGTAATTTCGAGGGGAAGCGTAAATATTTTCAAGTTCCCCGTTTCATTGATAACGGCGAAGGTCATTTATATTTTAAAACTTTTTCGATACAATTCTTGCATTACGAAAAATCAATTTCAATTTAAATTTCAATTCTATTTTCGTAAATAAAACGATGAGAATAGATATTGAATTCGAGCGAATTAATATTGTAAAAGTTATGTTAATTAATTTCGCCCTTTGTAACTTAATATTTGAACCGTGCATATTCACTATTTGTGTAAATTTTATGCCAGTTAAGTTTCGTGCAAACAAAGCTAACGTTTCTACCTGCACGTTCATTGTAGAAATTAATAATGGAACTTGTTTGGTAGATTGTCGTAATAATTAGTTCTGCTTCGATGAAATCGCCAAGATAACGAGGGGAAATCTTAAAGTTATTAGTTTAATCAAGCGAATGAGGATAAAAAGGGGGAAAATAATTAATTTTAAACAAAAATTAAGAGCGGTATAATTAAATATAATTAATTATATTTATGGATGGTGTTAATATATTGTTGTGATAAAAACTCGGATTGTACATATTAGATATTTGCTAATATTTGATAATCATAAAAAGGTTTTATTGTTATAGTTTTATTCTATGTGTAATAACACCGAGTTATTATTAAAAATTAATTTATTAATTTTGTATTAAACTTACCCCGAAAATGTAATAAAACTCCTCTTAGCCGTATTTATATAACTAAAGGTAAATTTCCTTTTTATGAAAATGAACCTAAAACTTCTTACTTTAATACATACAATAACAAAGTATAACTCATACTTACTTTTCTTTCTTAAATTCCCCAATTACGTTATAATATATTTTGTAATTACAAAAACTATACAATAAAAACTATCTAAATTATGAGCAAAATCTTATTTCGTTGTCTTCCTTTTGTAGCGGAGACGTCGAACTCACAGACCCTTTTCTCAGATAGCCGCTATCTCTTTTATCTTTAAAAACTGTGTACACCCGCGTTTACGTCACCTGTATTTTTTCTTCTAGATACGAGATGCACAATAGGCGTTTTTTAAATAACACTAAATACGATTATTAAAAAATATATATATATACACTCAACAATAAAATAAATCTAAAAATCCCCTAATTTCTTAAATTATTTCATTAAAATCATTAAGAAGAGTCATATCCGGATGTGCTCCTCGGCGATAAAGGATGAAAAAGATCAACAACCGAATCAGGTTGTTGTTGATAACTTTGTAAATGATTGAAATCTCCGCCTAATTCATATTGTAATCGCCGATCATACGCAGACCCTAAAATACAAATTTTCTAAAAAGAAACAACTAAAAGTATTATTATTATCCTTACAAGGATTATGATGTTGTTGAGGAACTTGGTAAAGTCCATAATTAATACTGCTGGTGGCGATCTTTTTTAATCCTTGAATCGAAGTTAAAATTAATGCAAGTTTCGCGAGAAGTAAAGCTTTCCCCCCGAGAACAGCGAGAAATTGGAAACCTAACGGAATCGCAATCATACTTATCGCTAAAATACTGAAGATAAGAATCGGTAAAAGATCTTTATAATGATGTCTCCTTCTCGGCGAAAAAGAAAAGAAATAATTTGGTTTTATGGGAAATTTCAACAAGTGACTCTTAAATAAACCATCGATTTTTTCGATTATGTTATCAAACCATGATTTTGAAGATAAATTTCTTTCCCTAAAAATAAAGAAAAATATAATCTAATTTAATATAAATACAAACAAACCTATTTATAAATGTCAAATTTCTATTTTTAACCAATTCAATTTCGCCAATCCGTAAACGATCCATCGTCCTCACCCTATCCAAAGCGATTAGTACTCTTCTTTTCAAACATTCAATCACACTAACCGCAACATTATATACGGTTTCGGTTTGGATTGCTTCCCGTAAGCAATTTGCCAATAATATTCGTATCCCGGGGAGCGAGGAGCCCAGCAGGTCGTCTTCCTCTTTCATTTCGGCTCGAATCGTGGGCGTTGTAAATGATGGAAATAACGTCAGGAACGCTAACGTTAACCAAACGAAGTAGAAGCCTCGCGAAGTCATCCTGAAAAGAAAAGGACCAAGAAATAGAAAGGTTTTCTTTTTGAAGGGTGTGAAATTTTAATGCTTTAGGATTGAAGAAGGTGTTGGGTTTTTATTTGGGGGCTCGAATTGGATGATTTATATTGAAGGGTGAAATAAACAATAAAATAATAAAAAAAAAAATAAAAATATATAATTTCAATATCATGGAATATTGTAGTATGTATATTTTTGTTCCAAATTAGGACAGCAAGATTTTGGGGAAGTTTTTGTAAAATTGTGGATGTTTCGGATTATGTGGGCGTGAAGATATCTTTTAATACTACTTTAAAATAAAGTCTTTATAACAAATGTAGTACTTAATAGATTAATCTTGCAGCTTCTGCTTTCGTAATCCTTATCATTAAACTGCAATTTGATTAAAATGCCTTTAAAGCATAATCTCTATATCGTGAATCCTGTATAATAAAATTTTTATAAAAATGCGATAAAATAAATAAAACGAGAACGAATAAAAAAAGAAAGAAAGTGAAAAAAGTAAATTTTTAACGACTTTTACGTCAAGGTTCTCTCCGCTAATGGATCCCCATTAATAATTACCGGTATTGAAAAAGAATAAAACCTGGTGAAGCGATATGAAACATTAATCAACACTTAACACTTATTTCTTTATCCCGTCGCGACGAAGTTAAACCGCATTTAATCACTGAAATTGGATAATCCATTCATAGCTTTACCTTGGAAACAATACCCAGGCATCGGTAAACCACAGTCGCGGTAACGAATCATTTGCAGAGACTAAATTCGTCGCGAACTGTCCAGGCCAGATTTATATGTTAGTTCGACGACGACAAGAGGCGTGTTCTCTTGACCGTACCGCATGAAATTTCATTGCCGACGACGTGAAACGGTCTTGAATTAAAGCTAATAGCCCATACCGTGACCTACGACTACAATGTGGATTCCGCCCGATTTCAATTTTCCGGAAAAGATTTCCGATAACCGATTACACTTTATAGCTATTTAAAGAGAGAAATGAGTTGTAATAATATAAAAATGTCTTTACGAAGTAGTTTAGTTGAAAATTGGAAATTCAAAGTATACGAAAACAAAGCCGTAAACGTTACTTGGATTTAACGAGCGGTCTTTGTAGCCTATTATTTGATCGTTATGGCATGCAAGTTAAGTAAAGTGTAACTTAACCCACTGTCTTTATTTATGCGTCCTAATAAATTCAATGTGATGCTTTAAAAGATCACACTCCATTTACCATATTCTTTTTTAACGAAAATTGGAAATTACTTGTGGATACTTTGAAGACTCTTGTTTATTTTGAGTTCTCATAGGAATATATTGGATGTTAACAAGGTATATAAAACCATGTTTACATACACACAATTACTTTAATTTTCATTCAGGTATAAGTATAAATAAAAAATAATAAAAAAGAGAAAAGAAAAATGAGAAACCACACCAAGTACAAGACATCGTCACCTATTCACTAATTTATACCTGGTATCGTACAATATCACATTTTTATGAACAAACTTACAATTTTAGAAAGAAAAAAGAACTTTTCTGGTTTTTTAATAAATCCCGATTAATACTAAACGATCCAAAATACTTCAAAACATCGCCATTAGTTCGCCACGAAACCATCTCATAAATCATCATAAATTTTTATATACATCCATAAAAAAAATAATCGAAATTCTTCGAAATAAAATAATTAGTTACATCGTTCTTGGCACGTGCACTTGGTCTTTGTAAGGGCGAAACAGCTGAGCATATTGGTGACGAGACTGCAACAGCGGCGTTGTTCGTTTATTTCTCCAACCGGTAAAGCTACCCATTTCTCTTGACCACCGCCGAATCACCTAACTTCCGATTCTGCGCCACCCGAACAGTCTTCGGGCTTCACTATTTGATAAGTTACAAAGTATTCTGGATAAGCTTGTTCACCACGGTACACCACATATTCCGGGAAATTCAATCCTCCAGCAGATGGTCGTCCAGCTACCGAATGATGACCAGGTGGAGCGTGAGCCATTTTCATAGCGCTAAATTGTAGAAATGATTTACCTAATGTTACCCTGCATAAAAGTAAATGCCTAAAAAAAAAAATTTGAATCACATAGTTACTTATAATTTTTTTTATTAAGTTTACCTGTGGCAAATATAACAGGAACGATCTTTATGGACGGGGCAACCAGTTCCACCACCAATTCCATAAACGTATTGGTTACTTTTAGAGGAATGTTCGGCGAAATAAATCCCCGCCCCAAACATTCCCCCAATATAAGCATGGCGTTCATCAAAACCTTTTTGAACGATCGCGTTTATAAACGGCGATCCATGGAATAACATTCTTTCGTTGTTTTGATTACTATTTTCTTCTGCTACTTCTTGCCTACGATGAGTGTATCTCTCCCATAATTTCCTATTCTGAACTTTTTGTATCTAAACATAAATAACTACTTAATAATCAAAACACAACATTTCATTAAGTTACTTACCCTAACAATATTATATCTTGCAAAAATTCCACCGGCATGTCCATTATCCCTATGTTCTCTAATACTATTTTGCATCTCCTCTTCAACAGCAATGAACTCCTTATCATCAGCTAATAAATCAACCAATAAAGTTCCCGGATTCGAAGGAGTTGACCACAACCCCCCACAACTAACCATCAACCTCTCCATCCCTTTAATCAACTTATGTCTAAATCCATACGCCGTAATTCCAACTTGTTTCAAATCTTCATGTCCCATTTCCGCTAAAATATCCAAAGTGATTTGTTCGCGATCGAAAATTTCAAACAAATGTTCCAAATTTAAATTGGCTAAAAATGTGGCTACGTTCATCCCGACGCTGCTTCCTACACCGGTTACCGCTGTTATTTCCGCTTTAGATCCCGCGCAACATCCCCCTTCCGTACCAGGAATTGCCAAACTGTTACGACTCGAAACCGGAACTGATAACGTCATGGACGCTCCAGACGGCATTATTACAGTTTCCGAGTTAAGAGGTAACATTGTCGGAGATGGGGATTGAGCCAAAACGATGGACGGGGGTCTCGATGATGGTGCGGCTGTTGTTGGTACTACTTGTTGTGAGGCCATTGCATCTTGAAGGAGACATCTAACGTCATCTGCGGACGCTAAATCCATCGGTACTTGCCCTTCTTGATTTTTTAAGAAAGGATCGGCACCGTGGGCGAGTAATAAAGCGCATAACTGAGTTCTACCTTTTTGCGCAGCCTCATGTAATGGAGTAAAACCCCATTTATCAGTCGCATTTACCACAGTATTAAACTTTATTAATAGCGCTGCTATATCCAAATGCCCATAACTCGATGCGTTATGCAAAGGAATTAAACCACCCTTATCTTGAGCGTTTACATCCGCTCCATGGTCTAAAAGAAATTCTGCGACTTCCACATTGTTATATCCAGCTAAAAAATGAGTATGAGAAATTTATTAAAAAAAAAGTAAACTATGTTTTACCTGCGAGATGTAAAGGTGTGGAATTTCTACCTTGGGCATCTCTACAATTTATATTATCGGACGTAACTAATCGTTGCACCCGCAATAAATTCCCCTTTTTAGCGGCATCTAAAAGTGCCGCATTACCCCGAAGAAGGTCCGCAACATCTTGATCCCCATCTCTAACAAGATCCAAAGGAGTTGCCCCATCACGATTTTTCTTGCTAGGATCAGCCCCATGCTAACAATAAAAATAACCTCAAATACACCAAAATCATCTCCAAAAACACACACCTTCAATAATAACTTAACAATTTCGTATTTGCCTTTAGCAGCAGCTTCATGTAACGGAGTAAATTTCCACAAATCAGCCACATTAACACTCGCACCATGTTTTACGAGTAATTCCGTAACTTCATAGTGTCCATACGAGCAAGCATTGTGTAAAGGAACCAAACCGCTGTAATGATAAAAAATAGAAATAGGAGCAAAAAAAGATTTTATTTTACCCTTTATCTTTAGCATGAACATCTGCACCCAATTGTAAAAGATATTCTACAACGGGTACTCGATTATAACCGGACGCAAAATGTAATGGTGTCGAATGTCTTCCGTCTAAATCGCGACAATTGACGATGTGAGGATATGAACCTAAAAGTCTTTGAACTTGATCTAAGTCTCCCGATTTTGCAGCTTCAAGTAATTGAGCTTCGACGTCCGCGTTCTCAGGAGGTGGATCTAATAATTTAAAATTACAAAATTAATTATAAAGGATTTGTAATTTGTATAGAGAGGTGGAAGTGCACAACTTTCTGCTAAACAATAATTACCGACGCATATAGCATGCGTTTAACGCTGTACATTGTAACCACTCATCTAATATCATTTTTATAGAGTTGATTGTTGTGCCTCGGATGTAAGCGACCTTAGATTCAGTCTTTTTTACACTAAATTGTAACGACTCGATTAATATCTTATTAATGGCCACCATCTCTTTAATATTGTATAATGTAATCAAGAGTATTAAAGATAAAATACAGTAGAATCCCGATTATCCAGGCTGCGAATTATACGTGCCATAAACGTCGTAGACGATATTCTTTTACAGGTTTTAAAATGACAACTAATCAAAGCGGTAAACTAAATGTTTTAACGATTATTATGCAAAAAATAATTTTTTTTTTGATTATCTGTGTCCCTTCCGGTCCTGTGGAGCACGGATAATCGGGGTTCAACTGTACCATCCAAGTAACATTTCGACCTCAAATGATCTTGATACCATTTTGCCAGACGATGATGAAAAAACATCCCTGTTATATAAAATACCATTTATACGCACTTCCACTGCCTTTATACATACCCTTTAATAAAATCACAATTATAATTACCTTGCAATATCTTTAAAACATTTTCTGAAGCCACCTGAGCAGCTGTATAGCCTTGTAATGAAACAATACTTGTATCAATATTATAAGATAATAAAATTCTGCAAGCTTGAACGTTATCATCTCGAGCACAACGATGTAGGGCGGTTTGTCCCAATGATTCTAAAGCGTTCACTTTTGATCCATGTCTCAATAAAACGTCCATTAAATCATAATGAGAATTATCGGCAGCGATGTGTAACGGCGTTAAAAAATCTTTATTTTTTTCGTTAATATGAACCCCTTTCCTAATTAACGTTTCTAATACTTGTTTTCGTTTGGGGTATAATGAACTGACGACGGCGTGAAGGGCAGTGTCCCCTGTATAGGGGTGTTTAAAGTTTATTATGTCAGCTGAAAGGTACTTTTTGATTTTTGTTGTGTCCGCTTGACGAGATGCTTCAAGTAAACAATGACCTTTGTATTCATCTAAAAAGAAATGTTTTTTTAATGAATTTGGAGCATTTCATTTTTGGGAATTAACTCACAAGCTAATCTTTCTTGTAGTTCTCTAGTGGGGGCCACATCTATAGCTGATTTTGAATGACAGTTTAAAAGTGTAGGATCAGCCCCTTCGCTTAAAAGCAAAGAACAAACTTCTATGCGAGATTTTGAAGCCGCTTCGTGTAAAGGAGTAAAAGCCCATAAATCGTTAGCATTAACATTAGCACCGTGTTTTATTAACATTTCCGTTACTTCAAAATGACCATAAGAACATGCGTTATGTAAAGGAACTAATCCTCTATATAAAAGAATTAAATATTAAAATATTTATTACTTGATGTGTTAAATAATCTAACCCTTTATCTTTAGCATGAACATCAGCTCCATGTTGTAATAATAATTGTACAACTCGACCACGATTATAACCTGCTGCTAAATGTAAAGGGGTTGAACGCCTCCCGTCGCTAGCATGGCAGTTAACGTTTAAAGGATTGAGCAAGGCGAGTAACCGTTCTTCCGACCCAGATCGAGCTGCTTCCAAAAGTTCATCCTTACGATACTCTCCAGTGAGAACTGGACGTGTTGAAGAGTCGGCCAATTCTAAGGCAGTCTTACCTTCGGTGTTTCTTATATTTACATCAGCTCCATGTTGTAATAAAGCTGGTTAAAATTAATATAAATAAATAACAAAAATGATTACTGTTTCAATTTTTTTAATACCTATACAAACATCGATTTTTCCTTTAATAGCCGCTTCATGTAAAGGGGTATAATTCCAATTATCTCTTGTATTAGGATTTGCACTCGCCTCTAATAATAATCTAACAACATCGGCATGCCCAAAAGAGCATGCATTGTGTAAAGGATGCAATCCACCATCATCTCTTGCTTGAATTGAAGCCCCAGCAGATAAAAGAAACTCAACGATATCTCTTCTACCATAACCTAATAATTTTTACATTTTTTTATCAACAAATTGTTTAATAAATTTATCTTACCCGCTGCGAAATGTAAAGGTGTTGATTTTCTTCCGGCAGTATCCCTAGCATTAACAGTTTGTGGAGTAATTAATTTTCTTACTTTGGCAATGTCCCCAATTTTACACGCTTCAAATAATTCTCTAAGTGGATCATTTGCTCCAGGTAAAGGTTCCATAGTTGCGGTTAAAAGGGCTCTTCTATTTGCCATTGCTCGGTCTTTGCAGGGTTTTTTTCTCACAATCCTCTCACTTAAGAGCCAGATGTGCCCACCTCCCTTGACCTACAGCGAACATAGCTGTGTTTCTTGAAGCGCCGTCGTCGTTCAACCGTTGTACGAGTTTTAACACGCCGAATTAACGCACGACGTATTAATTTTAATGGTTAACGGCACCTAATTAAGTCAGGAATATTTCATAACTGCTCTCTCTTCTATATTTGTCAATCGCGATGCAAATTTTCAGAACCATTACAAAGAGCGGTTTACGCGTAACCCAAAAACACACCTTGTTTTAATTAATTTAATTAAGTTATTCACGTAATATAATAATCTGAAATGATGAGGCCTGCCAATTAATTCATAAATTTTGAATTTCGTATTATATCTATAAAGAAATACTTGAGGAACACTTAAATAGAGCGGGTTATGTTTTGAAATTGATATGGTGTAAACTGGACTTAGTCACTTTGATGTCGCTGTGAAGTTGGATAAAAATAATTACCAACATTAAGAAAAGAACAACTATTTTTCTTGTAAAGATTAATAAAGGATAATTTTTAAATAAATAATCGTTTTTTTTTATTTTTTATCAATTTATTCTTAAAAAACATAATTTGATTTTGTGTAGTTTTATAATCAAAATAAAATCATGAGTATTATTTGTTTGGATGTCAAAAATGTCAAAATGACAGACTTTTTAAACTAACCTAACTTTTTTAAATGATCAATTTCTGATTTATTATAAAAGTATTAAGAAATATAATCATGGAAGAAGATTATGAATCGGCGAAAAAGCTGTTAGAGGAGTTAAGAAAAAAATATTGTCCTGATACTTCTAAAGGTGTCATAACATAATTATAAATATATATGTATTTTTAAACATTATTATTTTAGAAGATAAAAAGAAGAAAGAAAAAGATGAATCAGATAAAAATGCGCAACTTTATAGTGATCTTAAAGAAAAATATTCTTTTGGCCCATTAACTTCCTCTACAACTCAAAAAGGAGAACAAAAAAGTAATAAAATTAAAAGCAAATCAAAGTTAAAACAATCTAGTTCAAAAAGTAACGAAGGTGATATTAGAAAGATATCAATAACTATAGACAGTAATGTTATAAATAAATTTGGCCAAGATATCTTGGGGAAACTACAAGACGCAGAAATATTTTCTAAAATTACAACACAAGATCAACTATTTCCTGGATTAATCACCTGGGAATATTCTCCAGCATTAATAGATGATGACAAAGACATAAACGATGTAATATTAATTCTGAATTGGGATGAACTATTATCTCACATAAAATCATCTAATTTACTTAACTACATTAGTTCTATACAAGATATTTTAACAAATAAAACTATATATTTAGGATTATTAGGGATTGATGATTACTTTAAATATTGGAAATCCCAAAAAGCTGCTCAAAGAACAGTTTCTGAATACCAAGATAGCATTCAAGTAACCCGAAACGAACTCGAAATGGCTTTAACTGAACTCCAATTAGCAAATAATTGCTGTTATCGCAATCTAAATTCATCACAAGACCTAATTGATTTAGTTTTACAATACACCAAATCGATAGTTCAACTTCCGGAGAAGTTAGAGAAAAGTAATAAATACAAAGATTATGATTTCAACATATTAAAAGTGAAAAAAGATTCGGTTTCTGTGGATAAAGATGGAAACGGCCTACAAAGACTTTGGCAACATCAACTAACAATGTTCGAAATGGCCCGATTAGAAACTGCAGAAGCTATAGTTGGGAAATTTCCGACCCCATCAGCTTTATACGAGGTACTTTTATTTGTTTTTGATGCTTTTGATGAAAGAAATTCGTTTTAGGCTTGTAAAGATTTATCGAAAGATGAGGGACATAAATTAATTGAAGAAATTCCAATTCGACGTGCAGCTGGACCACATATTTCAACAAAGAAAGTTGGACCTAAATTAAGCAGTAAAGTTTATACGTTTTTTAATTCAATTAATGGTGACGATGTATTATAAAAATGATGATTTAATTTTGAAATAAATTTAATTAGTCGCGCCATCTATTATCAATTGGTTAAAAAAAATAGATTACTACTTTTTAAAATCCTACAATAAATTTTATTATTAAACTTATATTAATTTAGTGATATCCTTTTTATTTATAATGATAATTGATATCTCGAAACAGTGAGTTACACTTTAAATTAAATTTGAAAACAACCTTTACTTGTGGTCTAACCTCTAAATATTTAGTTCCTCAGAAAAAAATTAATAAAAAAGGTGCGTAATTGGCATAGAAGTGTGATAGATCGACGACGTTATCTTAAATATGGTTTGACACGACGTTTTCGAATACTTTTTGATGTATCGATTGGTTTAATTCAATTGATTTTTAATAAATAATAATTTTTACGAAACGTCGATTTATATCTGATTGCTAAAGCATTTCAGTATTTTAATCAAGAAATCGATCAAATTTTTAATAATTAAGTAAATCAAAACTAAAAACTACTTACTTTTCTTAAATAACTAATTAATGAATAACAATTTTGATTTTGAAGGTTTTATGTCAAATGTCAAACTAAACATAACCTAAAAATTCAATTTTGACGTAAATCTTATTAATTCTAACCTACAAGTTTCCGAATAATTCATATCGATTATTTTTACCTAATAAATTGTATAGAAAGAGATTATCTAGAAAACGGTATAAATTTACGGATCATTTGACGTTTTAACGTTCTTTATTTCACTTTGCTAAAGTGAACTTTGCCATTAAGGTGGAAAAGTGGGAAGTGGATTTAAAAATCAGAAAAGATTTTCGCTAGTTTTAGTAGTTTTCAATTTAAATAATAATTTTGTGTTTTCCCATTGATAATAAAAAAGTTTAATCTAAGATTTTTTTATTAAAAATGACCCCTATTTATGTTTTCAGACCGCCATAAAGCTATAAAAAACGGGAAATATGTTCATAAAAGTATCCTCTGTACTTAATAGGATTATCTTTTGTGATGGAATTCTTTGTTATAGCTAAATTAACGAGTTTATAAAAGCAAATTTAAATCTAAATTGTTAAAAAAATATACAAAGTTATTTTTATACAGGGGAGTGTTCTACCTCGGGACATTTTTGACATATAACTTTTTTTCTCAAAACACAATGTTACTTTAAAATTTCCAAATATACTAACAGGTTGCAATATTTTCAAAGCTGTTCTAACATGTCCTACCAATGGGCTGCGGAAGACATTATAAGCACTCATATTGTGCTATCAGTGCCATAATATAAATATTTTTTTTTAAATTTGCGCTGAAATTCAATTAAAAATTATATTTAGGTTAATCCGACCCTGTTAATTCACGTTCTAAACGTAATCATGTAAAATTCATGTCTTGAATAAATACTCAAATCGAATACAAATTGTTACATAACGTTTTATGGTCATTTTCTTGAATTGCAACAGTTAAAAAAGTCAATAATCCTTCAGAATCTAATCGTTTAATTAACCTTAAGTCATCAACCGAATGAACCGCGTGAAACTACAAAACAAAAATTACAAACGATGACATTGACCACTTTCGAAGTCAACAACAAGGTTGGTGGGATTAATCTGAAGCCACCGTTTTGTGTGCTAGTTATTTTAACGCGGCCAACATAACTCTTCTGTGCATCAACAATACACCAAACACTATCTGTGTGTTATTGAGTTATAGTCGATATGTATATCAAAGTGATTGGTCGCGTGAATCTTGAATAAAGAAATTGTTATCTATTTTGTATAATTTTTTTGATAAGGAAGATGCGCCTCTATAAATATCGGTTCCTGAAACGTTTCGAATCAGTTTCGTTTAAAGTGCACTGTAGTGGTTTTTATTGGAATTGTGTCTACGGAATTTGGTAAACATTTAATTAATTAATTAGATGACAAGAAAGTAAAATAAGTAATACAAATTAAAATAAAGATTTTTTTTTTAATTCATTAAAATAAATAAGAAATTACTAATTTATTATTACAATTGCAAAAATTACATGTGATTTTTATCTTTTCAAGTTGATCAAGTGGTAACAAGGTGTAAAGCACTCCAAGTTTAAGTGAGATTGATTGATCTCCTTTTAGATTTTTATCTGAATCTGATTCTTGTTTAAATGAAAAACATTTCCATCGATCATTTTGCCAAAACACATAAATATGATTGACATTAATGTTACTATTTTTTAAAAATTTTTTTTGGTAACTTTATAATCATTTAAACATAAAAGAATAAATCGACCTTGATTTAAAAATATATACCAAACTTTTACTCATTACATAAAACGTATTAAAACTTCAAAACTTTCCTTTTAATTTAAAGAGTTAATCCAGTTTTTAACATTTTCTTTTATTTAACAATAATTAACTTTAATTGCATTTATTTCAAACCATATTTATGCGAATTTAAAACTAAATTATTATTTTTTAGATACTAAAATGTGGAAGAACAGTTTCAAACTGCTCTCCATAACATTATTGTTATCATCAATAATTGCTTCAATCAGCGGATATCAAATTGGTGTTGGTATTGCTGATTGTACAGGACCAGCTGCAGGTGTAAACTTTGTAAGTTAAAATCGTAAAATTAATTTTTTTTTAATTAATTTAATTTTTAATTAAGATGGGTTATGCTCAATTGGCACAAAAAGGTGCTGGAATTCATTTAAGACAATTCGCTCGAGCTTTTATTATTGGAGATGGGACAAAAAGAGTGGCTTTCGTCAGCGTTGACGTTGGAATGATCGGTTACGGATTAAGAGAGGCCGTAAGTAACATGATACTTAATATAAAAGTGATACCACCCCAATTATATCCTTCTTTATGGCGAATAATGTGGAAAAAGTAGGAAAAAAACGCGGAGAAATCCTTAAAATGATTTGGTTCCTTTCCGTACAAAAACAGATTTCGAGATTTCCCAACGGGGATACTCTCGTTTTCAACACTTTTTTTAACTTTGATTTATTACAACAAAAAAGTGTTACTAAAAAATAATAAAATTTATTACTTATTTACTTATTTTTAAATTAGGTTATTGAAAATTTGTCAAAAGTTTATGGGGACACTTACAACATTCAAAACGTGATTATTAGTGGAACTCACACTCACGGAACACCTGGAGGATTTATGCAACACTTTATGTTTGACGTCACCGTTCTTGGATTTGTTAAACAAACCTATGATGGTTACGTTGAAGGAATTACCAGAGCTATTACTAAGGCACACGAAAATATTGTTAATGGAAAAGTTATTCTTAATAATGGAATTCTTTTGGATAGTAACATCAATAGGAGTCCGGCTTCTTATTTACAAAATCCCGAATCAGAAAGATCACAGTAAGAATTTTTTTTTAACTTATTATTATTACCCATTATCAACTTGTGAAACTACGAATACTTCTAATTTTTATATTTTTGTATTTCTCTCGACATTTATACATCTTAGAGCAAAAGTGAAACAGAGCAATGTGTTAACAATAAAATTTGCTACAACTTTTGTTCAAAAAGTTTTTTTCTAATATGCTTAGATCAACGTCAACATCTTGAAAAAACAACAAATTCATCAAATTTTCTATAGTTTCGTATTTCTCTCTATATCTATGAATCTAAGAGCAAAAGTATAAGAAAGCAATATTGTTAAAAATAAAATTTGCTACAACTTTTGTTCTAAAAGGTTTTCTGTAACATGCTCCGAATCCTGAGTTTTGCCATTAACAACTTGTGAAACTACGAATTAAGTTAAAGCATAAGTATGACAGCAGAAGTACAATGTCGCTTAATTGAGCCGAGGTCGCTTGCAGCCGAGGCAGTAGAGTGTTGTTCGAAATTGTAATTGTACTGCTTAAGCCTCAAGCAACCTCGGCTTTATTAAGCGTCATCGCACTTTCTCTGCTATGGTTAAACCAAGGTCGGTTGCGGCCGAGTCCTTACAGTATGTGTTGTCCGATGTTGTTTTAATTGTAGAGCCTCGACCGCAAATGACCTCGGCTTAATTATGCTTCATCGCACTTTCTCTGTTATAATTGAGCCGAGGTCAATTTATAGCCTTCTCGTATTCCCATTTCTTACGGCTACAAATTCTTCTCCGAACGAAAAGTGTATATTTGTTGCAAAATCCTTATATGACTAATTTTAAATTGATATCTGCTATCATTCTTTATCTTGAAAAATTTAGAGGCATATAAAGTTTCGACTAGTATAGTTATCCTATATTTACTTTTTTATACAATATTAAGAAAACCCTTTGAGATATTTTAGAAAAGGGTAATCTCGGACGTAATTATTTACGGTCGACAAAAATATATTATCCGTGACTTAATATATAATAAGTTCAGGCTCAGAGCACGATTTTTAATCAAACTTTTTTCTTTCTTTGCAATAAGGACAAAAAGATGCTTTTTGAATTTTGTTACTTTCTTATTGATTTCTGCCTTATTGGTTTCCTTTATCTTCTTTTTAATATTTCCTACAAATTACAGCTCTCTAATATAAGTCCAGAAAGAAGTAAATATTTTTTATTTATTTTTATAAATGTTCAATTCATCATATAATTTTGGTAATTAAAAAATTAAACTTAATTTCTTAATTTTAGATATGATTACAACGTTGATAAAGACATGTATCAATTAAAATTCGTCGATAACTCCGACAACATACTCGGCCTTATTAATTGGTTCCCGGTGCACCCAGTGTCCATGAATAACACCAACCACTTAATCACCTCGGATAACGTCGGTTACGCAGCCCTTTTAATGGAAAAACACTTAAATAATAACGCATTCCCAGGAGAGGTAGAGAAATTAAAAAAAATTGAAAAACATTTTTATTTATTATTGTTTTAATTTTAGGGCAAAATTGTTTCCGCTTTCGCGTCAACAAATCTTGGTGACGTTTCACCAAACACGAAAGGCCCAATTTGTATTGATACTGGTCTTCCATGCGATGAAGTAGCAAGTTCTTGTGGTGGAACTGTAACTAATTGCATTGCCTCAGGTCCTGGTGAAGATATGTTCGAAAGCACGGAAATTATTGCCACGAATATGTACACGAAGGCTTTAGAATTAATGTCTGGGGCAAATGCGCGCGAAGTAACCGGATCAGTTAATGTTATTCATCAATTTGTTGATATGCCGTCGCAAACCGCTCAATACACGCTTGGAGATGGTTCCACGATTACCGGTAAGGGTTGTAATTCAGCTATGGGTTACAGTTTCGCTGCAGGAACAACAGATGGACCTGGAGAATTCGATTTTGTACAAGGTAAAAAATTAAATTGTTATTATATTAATTAATTCTATTAATTTTTGATTTTTTTGCCTTAAGGTATGACTGGTGAAGGAACTTCTTTATGGAATATGGTGAGATCAATCTTAGCGAAACCTTCACAAGAAGATATTGATTGTCACGCTCCCAAACCAATTTTATTGGCGACGGGTCAAATGAAAGATCCTTATGAGTGGCAACCTAAAATCGTTTCGACGCAATTGGCAATGATCGGAAATGTTGCAATCGCAGCCGTTCCCGGTGAATTTACTACGATGGCCGGCAGGCGATTAAAGAACGTTATTAAGAATGTAATGACAACGAATGGTGCTGGAGCGGAATCTACTGTTATCCTTGCCGGATTGTCGAATCATTACACCGATTATATTACTACTTACGAAGAATATCAAGTTAGTTTCTAGTTAATTCCCCTGTATATTTGAGTTGCGAGTTTCGAGAAAAATAAGTATTATTTGAACGATTTAATCAACAAATCCTCATCCAATTGAAACAACTTCTTTTATTTTTACACTGAACGTTTCGTTACAAACTACGACAGTATTGCTTAATATTTAGTTTATGCTTTTTGTTTTAGTTGCAACGTTATGAAGGTGCATCAACAGTTTATGGTCCACATACACACGGAATTTATCTTTCGCAATATCAAAAATTGGCTACCGCTTTGTTGAACGGTGGAAGTTTAGATAGCGGACCAACCCCACATTCTTTCGACACATCGAAGCTTTTAAGTTTAGTTGCGCCAGTTCTTTTGGATACACCTGATTTGGATAATGATTTTGGTACTTGCAAGACACAGCCGGCTAAAACTGCGAGTATTGGAGATACAGTTTCGGCTGTTTTTGTAAGTTACTTTTGGTTTAATTAAGATGGATTTTAATTTATTGACTTTTTAGGTTGCTGGTCATCCAAGAAATGATTTAAAACACGGTAGCACTTTCTTAACGGTTGAAAGACAAGACGGTGATTATTGGACGGTTGTTGCTAATGATGCTATGTGGGAAACAAAGTTCAAGTGGGAACGTACTTATTTGGCGACCCAAGAAGTAACCATCGAATGGACTATTCCAGAAGGAACATCGCCCGGAACTTACAGGATTCGTCACTTTGGAAAATCTAAGTCTTTGTTCGCAGCCCCGGTTGAATACATCGGGGTTTCAAACACTTTTCAAGTTGCTTAATTAAGAGTTTATTTTAGTTTTCTTATAACTTCTTTTATTACGACGATTTCAATTCTTGCCTTTTCTTTGTAAATAAATGTTAAAAAAAATAGAGAATACCAAATAAAAAATTGCAATTAAATGAAACGCCCCCTTTTTTCATTTAATCAGGTTGAACCTACTACAAGAAATGGGAGGAATAAAAACGTATAAAAAAGTTAGGGGATGTAAAATGAAACAGCCATTTATGAAACAGATTACTAAATTCTTTGTGAAAAAGCATAATGCAATTTTAATTTTAAATTGTAAGCAAGAGGAATTTCGTATATTCAGAATGCATCAATGAAAATCGATTACGAATTTTTACAATGAAATACTGTGCACATTCCTAAATAAAGCGAAAAATAAAATTTTCCTTCTCCAGATATACAATAGACGTGAAGTGAATTGTGTTACTGTACAATATCTATAGGGATACATTCTATATCGCACCAGCAAAAACTTTATTTCTTAAATAATATTCCATTATTATTTAACAACAATATTATTACTACACCTTGTTTACATTATACATAGATAGATTCTTGTTGAATCTCCTACACGCTATTTATAATTCTATGCATTTTAACGACATATCACTGACTCAATATAAACCCGAAACATCAGCCTTTGTAATAGACAATAAAAAAATACAATGAATAAAATAAAAAACAATAAAAAGAAGATATTGGAGTACATTCTAAATTTTTAACATGTAATTTTTTTGTATTTGATTTTCATTGCTTTTTGCGATGGTTAAAAAAAATAAAAAAGGTCTCGTAAAATCCTGTTGCTTTTCCATTTGCTGTTTACAAATTTAATTTAAACACTAAAAACTATAAATTTTCGAGATGACTTCACTCTGTGTCCAATAACTTCTACGCCTCTGGGTATAATTATAAGATCGATTATATTTTTGAATTCTCTAATTAATTCTTAGTAAAAAGTTCTTACTCGAAGAGACCCAATAACTTCTGCGGCTGGGGTATTAAAGTTATTGATGTGTTGGGTTCAATGGTTGGTTTCAATGCCAACAGTCAAGAGATTCGATTTTTTCGAAAAGTGGGAACACGCTTTTATAGTCAAGCCCACTTTTCCATTTGGCTGCGTTCGGTTTTCAACATTGGGTTGGGAGAAGCACCCTATTATAGATTGGAATGGCCTGAAGAACACTAATGGATTATCGAGGGACGTATTTCCCTCCGGGCTTTCATCGATGTATGATATATCTACACAATGCAACGAGCAGTTAATAATAGTCAACAACAAATGAAGAGAATGCGTCCATGGGCATAAGTGTGTCATTCAAGCGCGTTCAAGCATAATACTTGCTTAATAATTTTTGTTTGTTTGTGTACTTGAGCTACAAAAAGAAATAAAAGTTTTTTCCCCGGGGAAATAAAGAGGTGATAAAAGAAAAATTTATCGAAGAAAAGATGAAATGGACAAAAGGGAACTGCGAAACCGAAAATGACAACTTTATTTGTAATTAGAAGTGAGGAAGTAAATATATAGTTAAGTTTGTTCTAACGAAGGGCTTGATTAATATCGCTTCACCTAAAACATGATTTGAATTGAATTTCAGATGAATTAAATGCAATCTTACCATGAATTGTAATCTTGAATGAATTCATCAAAATAGCTTGTTTAGTTTCTAACAATCACAATAATCAATACAAAATGTACAAAAAAAAGAGTATGAATTTATAAATATGAAATTTACATTTTTGTTGAGTTGTGTCAGTGTGCATATCACATTCTATAGTTTTACAAGCGTTCCTTTAAAATTCATATTAATGGGGTAATACAAAACGTCAGGAAATTTTTATCAAAGGGAAATGTAAATATCGAACGTCGTAAGAGAATTGCGAAGACATTTCATTTCAGTTACTGTGGAAAACTGTATTTACTTATTAAATAAAAGATCTTGCTAAAAATTGGCTAAACATGAAATAGTTATACGAAACGTTTGAATAACTTCCGAAATTGTTGACTTTATATTTATTAGAGATAATTTATTTCAGAACTATTAGAAACAAATAAGCTGATGATAATTCATTTAAACGGGGCTGAATACACAACACCAATATGATGATGTAAATGAAACGAAAACAAATGTTTAAATCATATTTTTAAATTTAATAATTTAAGAACATAAATTTCAATTTATTTCAATCTTTTTAAAATACTTTTAATTGTTTACAAGTTGTGTACCACATAGTTTTTACTAAGAATCGAAATCGCTTCTAAAGCGCATGCTTTCGTTCCGTATAGATGAGAAGTTTCATTCAGGTTTGCGAGTTTCGTACGAGCGCCAGTTTCAAATTGGCTGAGCATCGCGATGGAGAACTTTACGAACGAATCTCTTTACGTCCTGGTGGACTACGGCCCAAAACGCGATAGTTTATACATAGTTATACCCATAACGGTCTTATACGCGATTATTTTCATATCGGGATTAACCGGCAACATAAGTACGTGTATAGTGATAGCAAAAAATAAAACGATGCACACTGCAACAAATTACTATTTATTTAGTTTATCAATTTCGGATTTGTTACTTTTAGTTTCGGGATTACCACAAGAGATGTATCAAATTTGGTCGCGTTATCCTTACGTTTTCGGTTACACTTTTTGTTTGCTTCGGGGATTTTTTTCGGAGACTTCAGCGAACGCAACCGTTTTAACGATTACAGCTTTTACCGTTGAACGGTATGTTGCGATTTGCCACCCGTTTTTATCGCATACAATGGCTAAATTGTCGCGTATCACAAAAATGATTGTATTTATTTGGTTGGTTGCGATTGGTTTTGCAATTCCCCAAGCTTTGCAATTGGGAGTGCAAGAACAAATATACGGCGATCCAGAAACGATTCAGTGTTTGACGGTGTATCCCATCATCGAGCATTCTTTTGAAGTCTCAACCTTCCTATTTTTTTGTGCCCCAATGACTTTAATCACTGTACTTTATGTTTTAATCGCGATTAAATTAAAAAATTCAACCAATATGTTAAACAGAGATAGTTCAGACTCGAGAAGGTCAGGTGGAAATATTTATATTTGTCCAAATCGCAAGCATCATAACAATCAATCATCGAGGAGGGTTTTAAAAATGCTTGGTAAGTAAAAAAATTTTATTTATAATTTGCATACTAATTTTTGTAACTGGTTAAAAATGCAAAATCATTTAATTCCTTCTAAAATTTTTTATCTCTTCGCGTTTTTACACGACTAATTAAATCTCACCCATTTTAAGTGTTTTAATTCTAGATTTTTTATTCTACTAAAACGTTACTTAGATTAACTAAAATTTTTAAATAACCGGAAATGTAGAAATAATAAATTTTCCACTAAGCCCATAAATCATTTTAAATAGAATCTGTCATTTTAAAGCTTGAAAATCATTTAAATTCAAGTCAAATCACACAAAGAAAACGAGAATCAAAATTTACTGCTGATTACATCGCAGTTCTTGATTACGATGTAAAATATCTACAGGAATCGTGACAATTGGCAATTTTCAAGACAACTAAGGTGCAATTTCGATTCGGGAGATGTTGCGGGAAATTGTTCCATCGAGACCGATTGAATACTTAAACACGAGATTCATTTCATTTACATCTTTTATTTTTTCGTTGGGAGTAAATAATTTAGGAGATAACGCGAATTATTTCGTGCTATTTATTTGGCCATGTTGCGAGGTATTTTCGGTGTGAATAACTCTCGGGAAGTTGTTAACTGTTGTTAATTACGAAGATAAGCTCCATTTATATTTCCTTTCCACGCATTGCGGGCTTAAATTATTATCTCACATTATCATAAAAGTTGACATAAAAAAAAATTTGCACATACTTCAACTCAATTTGCATTTGAAAAAGAAAAAAGGGGGCTAATGACAAAGTTTTGTTAGGTTTGGATTGGATGCTTTCATCTCGTTAATTTACGCGCTTGATACTTTTCGTTAATTATTCCGTTTAATTGAAGTTTGAAAATGTTTAATTCAAATGATTTTGATATGAATTAAAAAAATAATACACCAAGTCATAAATTACAGAAATAAGAAAATGATTTTCAACACACTAAATATTAATTTAATTTTATAATTAATTTACCTCAATAATCGCGAGGTTGAATTAAAAAATTCTATCTTCAAAATCTATAGAATCGAAAGAATTATTTTTTGTGTGTCAAAACTAGATTAAATTTGCTATAAAACGGACTTTAAACCATCTTGATATCTCAATTAGTTTTTGAAATATGAATGGATATGTAAAATATTAATCATAACTTATGCGAGCGGTATGAGAGAATATCATTTAATCATTAATTGGCCATTAATCATTAATTTTGGAGGTCTAACACATTTCCTTGAACTTCCTGTACATGAAGGTTTCCTCATAAACAGACATCGAGAAAAATATTTTTGTGTTGGCGCATGGAGAATTTATTGCGATATTGGCTTACTCACAGTTAGTGCTTCCTAAATACACGCTCATGTAGAAAGTAAGACACAATTAAATCTAGCCCATACAATTTCACAAGCGCATATTGCTACATTTCATATTATACAACGTTTCAAAATCTTTAATCAAATAATAACAGTCAAAAGTTTATTAATATTAAATATATATTAATTATACTAACCAGTTTAAGTCTTGCCTTTTATTCAATATTAGTAAAAATTTAATATCAACCTTATTATATCCAAGTTAATAAACTTTCTGTTATAACACAAAACTAAATTAATTTTTGATTACTTGTTTCAATTTGTTTTTCTTTAAATTAAACAATTTCTATTCAAATCAAAACCATGAATTTCTTTAGAACTCCCAGAAAAAGTTTCAAGGAGATTGTTTGAAGTTTTGCGCATCATGAAAAAGTTTTATTGAAGCAATAAACGATTCAAACTCGATCGTTTTCAAGCCATTTAATTTTTTTTCTTTGCTTAAGCACAAACATATTTACTACAATAGTACAACTTACAAACACGCAAGTTTTAGATTAGTTTTTAAAAGTCGTTTTACACAAAAGAACTTAATCATAATAAAAAGCACAGCATTTACTTTTAATAATTCTTACTCAAACAACACGTAAGTTAAAAAGATTAATACTTTAATAGCATGTACATATTTTAAGTACGTATTTTCGTGGTGAACTTACAATATAAATCAACTTTTCAGCGAAGAATATTAACGGTGTTATTATTAATTAAGTGGAAAACTTCATGCAAATTAGTGTATAATGAGAAAAGTAGCTTATTACAATTAAATTGAATCGAGACCGCTATTAAATCGTGTGGAGTGACTAGAACAAAGTTAAACACATTAAATACTCATGTAATTCATTAAAATATTCAACTCAATATTAAGTTCTAAACAACTTTGCAACAAATTTTAATTATAATTTTAAACAGTGTAGTTCTACAACGAACCAAAAGTTACAAATTAGATTTGATAATTGAATTGAATTCCTCAAAACCACAAAATGCAATAAAGACCATCCGCAAAATCATAACTCACGTAACATGTGTACGAAATGGGTAGTATTATTTGTTTTAAAAATTCGAATTTATATTTATTAAACTCTGTTTGTCTGTTGTTTTTTGTCTCCTTTAGTTCTTTTACGTTATTTCTTACAGTACATACAACTTTTTAATTAGAACTGTATAAAGTAAGTTGGATGCTACTTGAATGTGAGTAATTCCAGAAGAAAACTACTCGTATCTCAAGAACGAATTAAGATATTATTATAAAATAAAAACCGGTTTGAAGTAAATTTCATTAATATTTAATGTGTTGAAAACCATTTCTTTATTTCTGCAAATTTTGACTTCACGATTTTTTTAATCCATCTCTGCATAACCACTTGTGACAGGTTAAGATTAATAAAAAAATCATATCTCAAAAACTAATTGAGATATCAAGACGATTTAAAAAGCGTTTTATAGCAAATTTAATCTAGTTTTAAGACACAAAAAATAATTACTTCGTTCTTATACGTTGCTGTGATATAATGTTTTTAATTCAACTGTGTGCTTATTAAAGTTAAGTAGATAAAAAGAAAATTCGAAGTCGTATCTCAAGATGATTTGTTATGTCATCTATAAGTATATATATTATAGGAGATGCCTGGAATTGACGTCATCATCTGATAATAGTTGTTGCAAACAAAATTGCAATGAAATTAAATCAATAGGACCTTTGTAAACGCAACCAGTAACTAATACACTCCCAGATGATGTTTGTTTTCAGCAATTTGCTCACGTAGCTGGAAACCCGAGTACTTTCAAACATTGATTTGAAACTTTATATTAAAAATCTTTGCGCCATCGTTTGTTCGTTTGTGTACCAAGCAAATTAAAAGGTCAAGTAGAGTTAGTTTATTGATTAAAAAAAATGCAATCTGTTTTTGATCGTAATGTTAAATTAACGGGGTCCATCGTTTAGTTTTGAATTACAGAGGGCGTTTCGAACTGAAATTACAAACAATGCAGATCATAGATCATACTTCAGTCCTGCGTCGAATTAAAAAGTTCATCACATAAACTTGTTGGGGTTAACTTGTACTGGTATCGATGAAATAATAAAAACTAAAATAAAAAAATTTAATAACAGCCATAATAAGAGATTAAGGACTAGTTTTTTTTAATGAAGAATTTAATGGTTTTGTAGTGTTTTGGTTGTCAACCCGTTGACCTTGCTCTGACCTAGCTGTTTTTTAACGTGGTTGTTTGTAATAATTTTTCCACATTCTACCCGGTATTTTATTTTCTCAAATTTGTCCGTAATAATTTTTCCCAATTAAAGCTATTCTAATCTGCAATTACCTCCTGAAAACAATTTTTTTCTAATAATATAATTAAAAAGAAATTCTAAAATTTAATTAACTTCGTTTATTCAATTTTAATTTTAATTATAACTTAACGTTGTATCGATGCAACCATTATTTATTCACTTAACAAACTTCCCTTAATAATAACATCCCTTAATTACATGAGTTATGACTGCTTTTAGCAGAAGCCATTATAAATCATATCGTATATTAAATTTATATTCGGCTTATTTTGTTGTTTTGAATTACTCACCTTTCATTTAGTTTAAAATAAATGGTATAATTTAATAATAGGATAAAATGAGAACATTCATGTTATTTATATTATTTCCTTTTTGTTCCAAGTTTAAAATCAGTTTGATGCCAAATAGCATTTGTCATTAAGTTCAACTCGATTTAATTTAATTCTTTTTCAGGCAACGATTCAAACAAACCGTTGTAACGTATTATTTTTTTTAACAATTTTACTAGACAACAAAAATATTTCCTAAATTACTCATAATTACGCTTTTAACAAGGCTTTTAAGGAATGTACAAGTAAATAGTTACAACATTTATGCACTTAAAGTAGTTGATAAAGTTTTCTTAGAATGTTCGTTGAGTTGATAATGAAAATCTATTATTAAAATTGTTTTTCAAATGTAATGAAATATTAACCGCTGAATAAAAAAACAACGATTTTCCATTTCTCTTCCGCAGATCGTGTGGAGCTCATAACCAAACATCATTTCTCATCAATCAATAATTTACACTGGTATAAAGTGTAATTGTACTGTCCTAAATACCAAATTACCTCCCACATTCAATCCCACTCAACAAAATCGAAAAGATGATTTAGCACTCGTAATATGAGTAGAGATTAATATAAAAATATTATAAACAAAATGTGAAAAAACATTAAAATTAACAAAAAGTTGTTACTTTGCTTTCATTTGGACTTTTCACTTTTCTGTTTGGGTTGCATTTGAATTAGCTCATGCTAATCAATCTAATCTGCTATCAGATACAGTTGGCTTGTTTTTGACATCGATTACTTATTTAACTTACCTTAATCGGATATCCGGCCCAAGGGGATGTCGAATATTCGATATCCGGCTTTTGGGCTGTTGACTTGTTCTGATGTAAGTTGAGTTGCTTACTAATTGAGCTGCTTTATTGTTGAATTATCTTGCTTAAAGCACATCACTGAAAAATATTCGTATTTTCACACATTACAAGAGAATATAAAAATCATCCATTCTAAAGATGCATAAAAAAACAATTAGTGACAAATATTATTGTTAAACAGCAATTCCAATTAAAACCACTTAGAATAATTAGTGCCTCTTTAACGTTTTTATTTATCGCTAAAACTCTTTTTTTGTTTTTCATTATTTTAAGTGTATTTCAACGACCTCCACGCTTATTTAAAGTATTATTCGAATTTCATGAAAATCGATAAAAAAATTTATTTTATAATTGATCATATAATAATACTAATTTGTGCGTTTCCTTGACCCCATCTCCACATAAAGAATATTTTTCATCATTATTCATAGCATTAAGTAAATTGGACATAATTTTTATTTATTTTTTAATAACAGTGACATTTTAAAAATGTGCTAAATGGAATGTTTTGTGGAATTTTTTAATGTTTTCGTGGAAGAAAAAAATTATATCTTAGAAATGTGATTATTTATTCAAATTTAACGGTTGTTTTTTAAAAAGGAATTATTAAATATCCGGTCCTCCTTCAAAACTTGTCTCAATTAAATAAAGTTTTATAACCTAACAAGGAAAGTTTTATTAAGACGGATTCAGGAAATCGTGCTTCTTAATCCGATTTAATTTAAAAATGCTGAATCGGATTAAATTGATTTCAGTTTACTCTAAAACTACATTAACATAAAAATATAAATTTCTATTTCCATTTCTCGTTATTTCAAAACAATGCAAAACGTTTGCAGTTGACGTTTTATTGATTGATATATTTTCAATTGCATCTCATTTCCAAGTAAAGTTTTCAACATTGTTTAAATTATATCTCTATGTCTGCTTGTGAGAGATTTCTGAAGTTGAAATGTTATTTTATATTTTGTTAACCACCCACACAGGATTTATTTATTATAATAAATCTCAAACGAATCCTTTTAATTAACAAAAATCGATACTTCCGAAAAATGTTAATTGCTGTTGTGAAACGGAGTAAATGAAGCAGATTAATTAAATTGAAACGCTTCATTAATAACGCTACCATAACGATACGCTAAAAAAATTCATTTAAAATCACAATAACTTTTTTCAACACTATCATTTTTAGGTGCTTCGATTTGAACCCAATTTAAAACTTTTTTTAGGAAATCTCATTAAACTTGAAACTATGAACCACATATTATTTTAAAGAGGAAAGTTTAAGCTTTAAATTGGTATAAAACTGATTTTATAATTCTCAAAAATAAGCCATGTACGATTTTTTTAATTTTATCATTTTTTTTGAAGATTTAGTTAAAACCTCAAAAACCCGACATTACTTAAAAATTTAATATATAAAATATATAAAACTTTTATATATCCTAAAAGATAAAGATTTAAGCTTTATTTTGGTACAAAAATTATACCTTAGCTTTCATAAATATGGACTCGGCGATTTTTTTAATTTAAACGTTTTCACGAAACCCATCATAATATGTACCCTTTTATAAAGCATTATTTTCATAGAAACAAAAGTTGAAGTAAAAAGAAAACCATCTGTTCCCGTTGTAATTTATGATGTCAGCTTTGTTTCAAAGAGGAAAAGTGCCGGAAAATCGAGATTGAACGAAAGGATTAAATGAAGTAGAATAAAAGCATGATTGCAAATCCGTTATAAAATATCAAATTTTATTTGAATTTATAACGTTGTGTATATCATAAATTGCTTTCATAGTACATCAAAATATAATGAAATTTAATTTTAAATGCGTGTATTGTGAAGGTGATGTGTTTTAGAAAAATTTGGTTTACAAAATACGTTATTTTTAGGATGCGGAATTTAGAAAGTAAACTACAAAGGGAATTAGCGACCAATGTATATTTAGGATACGAAATGTAACTTTAAAAAAGTAATCTTATTAATTAAATTAAAAAGTTTAATAAAAAATTTTACAACCTTTTTAAGTATTTAATAAAGCTTGGGAAAAAAACGTGAAACATAAATCGACCTTGTACTCATAAATTCCCCAAAATACTTGAATAATTCATAAAGTTCATTGAGTTCAATGCCTGAAAAAATTTTCAAGTTACAATAAATGCTTTGTTTATTTAAATTTCTTTAATTTTTCCATTTGGAAAAACACCCATCATCATTACATCCCATATTATGACTTACAAAATTTTTTTTTGTATATTTCCGCAATGAATTTGCTACAAATTTTATGATAGATGAGATGAGATTAATAAGCATAATTATTAATATAAATTTTAAAAACACATCAAGGTTTTTTTACAATAAATATCTAACCAAGGTTAATCAGATGTAAACAAAATATACCAGGTAAAAACTTACACATTTAATTGATTGTTACAAGTTTTTTTTGTACGAATTAAAATTAATTTTTTGTGATAATTTTTTAAACCCAATTTAAGTTATAAAATTTCCATAAAATCTATCGCGGGAAATTCACATGAAAGGAAGTAGAAATGTAAATCATCTCACGGAGACATACGAAAAGTGGAAAGAGTAATCCAAGCTAAACCCAAATGTGAGATTGTACTCAATCAACCTAAAAGTTTTTTTTTAGTAAATTTTATGCAAAAAAATCATTTATTTTATTCAAAAGAATATAAAAATAACCACATGAGACTGTTAACTTTTAACTTGCACTTCAAACAGTAAACTTTTAAGGCTAAAATACGATCACACGAAAAGTTTTTCTTTAACACAGTATAACACAGAGAGTTGCCTCGTAACTTTAAAAGTGAACCACCAAAGAAAACCTGAAAATCGATTGAAAATATTAAGGAAAAATCAACTGTAGATTTGCATTTTAAATCGCATTTCGAGCGAATATTATGTATGATTTACTTTGTAGTAGCAAAAATTATTTTTAAAGCTTAAAATTTTAAAAAATCGTTTGAACTGCATTTATAAGTTACAAATATAATTTTTATGTCAATTTAAAGCTTAAAGCATACTCTTTAAACCAATTTTGAATTAGACTTCGAAATCGTTTTGAATAAACTTTTAATTAAAATGAAAAAATCTATAAATTGTTATTGAAATCACTCAATTTTAAAATGTCGTCTGAACTGTATTTTTTAAGTTACATTTTAATTAATAATAATATTATAAAAATCGTTCCATTTCAATACATTTACATTTATATATTTATTTATTATAAGTTACACAGATTCACGATGGACGTTATGAAAACATAAAAAATCTGAATTTAAAAGTTTTCCCTGAAACACAAAGTAAAAAGGAAATGAAAAAATGAACAAAGGCTGTTTATAAGGTTATTTCTGCATCCATTCAAGTGATTTTACCAACCTGTTTCTCGGAACTACTCGCTCATAATACAGAAAATAACAATTCCAATTCTCATATTTACAACAAGCAATTACATTTACATATTTAAAAGAAATTTCAACTGTGGAATTTTTTACACAAATTTAAGTTAAGCTTCTAGTTTAATAATCGAATAAGATTATCAAGGGTCGATGTAGACCATAAAAAAGGTCAAATGGGATTTATTTCGTTCGTTTTACGACTTATTTCTTTACTCCTTGAAACCGATCCCAAATTGCACCTTATCTAAAGCAATTTGTGTGTCCTTTCGAGGAAATTTACCCGCTAACATTTTCAGTGACTTATCCTTGAATTGAATCAAATCAAAGCGATCGATTTCGTCGTTTTTTTTCTCTACGATTCGATCTTACCACTAGAAAACAAAATTGTTTGAAAATGATTCGGAGAAAAAACTAAAATAACAATTTTCGTAGCGTAACCAATACTTAGATCATGATTAAATTAATTAGCGTGTTTTAACACGTGGACAATTATAAGATTTTTATAAAATTTTCAATTTCATAAAAGGAATACAAAACAGAAATCAAGTGATTTTATTTTAGATTAAAATGCACGTTTACATTTGCGCCGTAAAAAAAAACCCATGAATTTTTGTGTTCGAATTATAAACGAGTCCTTTTTTTCTAGGTTCCAAATAACCCGGTTTGCCTTTAATTTATTTAAAAGTCGTGATTAAAGACGACGTTGATAAAGGGTCTAAAGGTTTATTTAATCACCATTTAAATTAAGGACTTTTTCGTGTTTTTTCAATCACTTCAGTTAAATCGAGCTTTTATGTAATAAAAGAACGCCACACGTTGTTGGGAAATTGAGTATCTTTAAAAATCCAAAGTTTTTATATATTTCAAGATGTTTTAGTTATAATCTGAAAGATTAACGAGGTAGCAATTTCAAAGGATTCCCTTTAAAGCTTAAAGCATATTCTTTAAAACGGTGACAAATCACCAGAATAAATTTTTAATTGAAGTGAAAAAAACTACAAATTATTATAAAAATCACTAAACTTTAAAACAACGTCTCAACTTTAATTTTTTAGTTACAGATATAATTTTTATATCAAATTAAAGCTTCTTTGAAACTGTGTATAACAATCTAGAAATATATTTTAAAATCGTTCTGAATAAATTTATAATTGAAGTGAAAAAATCTACAAATAATATTTAAAATTAATATTTTAAATATTTAATTTTATTAAATTTTAGATATAAATAAATGTAAAATAAACGTTAATCGTTGTGGGGGTGTTTAATTGCGGCCGAAAGTACGACCAATCGTGACAATTTAATGATTCAGAGTTTATTTAAATTTATGGACCATTTTAATTGATTTTTAATGACTTTGAATTATTCGCGACCGCTTCAAACAGTTTTATTTCAATGAAACCAAATTCACTCTTTCAATATTTAATTATATTATTAATTAATTTCGTGTTTTAATCTGTTTCAGTGGCTGTTGTGGTGGCCTTTTTTATTTGCTGGGCTCCATTCCACGCTCAACGTTTATTCGCTATTTATGTGACTCCACCAAGCGACAGCATCGATAAAAGGAGGATTTATTTGAAAATTTACGAAATTATGACCTATATAAGTGGAGTTTTATATTATGTTTCAACAACCATCAACCCGGTGTTATATAACATCATGTCCAACAAATTTCGAGAAGCTTTCAAAGTAAACACCAAATTACTACATTATTTTTAATTCAAATTATTAATTGTTTGATATAATACATGTTAATTAACGATAGTATTACATACAACCAATTATTTTATTAGAATCTATTGCACACCGAAATTAGTTCCGCTATTACCTAAACGTTTAATTAAACAAGGTAGTTTCTGAACTAGATATTCACCAATATTAGGTTGTGTTGTTAAAACACAATTTCGAAATACAATTCTAGTCCCTTACAATTAAGGTAAGATTCCTTTGACGTAGATTATGTAAATCAATTTCGTTGCAGCGATGATTTTATCTCTGCCAATTTATTTTTATCAAATCCATTTAATCTAGTATTGTGTTAGTGTATAAGATTAATAAAGTTTTATGAGACGATTTTAAAGTTGTGTAGTCATTCTTTTTCAGGAAACCTTCTCGCAATGGTGTTGCTGGAAATGTTGCGATGAGAGACTTGAAATCGGACAGCAAAGATCTTACGCGGTTGTTTCAAAATCGGCGAACCGAATCGGTAAGGAATCGACCGATTCAGGACGCGAAGACGGTAGCGTCCACACCAACACGACACTCGTCCATAAGAATTCTGTAGGGAGTAGCACAAGGTACGTAAAAAATATTAAAAAGGATTCGTTAAGCATCCACGACATTTTTTGACTCGTTATATTTCATTACATTGGGCAAAGAGGATTGGCTTTGCACTTTTTATTTCAAAATAACGTTCCGAAAATACACGTTATATTCATACATACCATGCATATTCGTTATTAAAACATGTTCTCCATTTTCAATAACTCAAATGGGTTTTTATTTAGCGTAAATAACGAGCTATTGTTTATATCAAGCAAATTCGAGTATTTGTATTAAATGCTTTCTATAAAATTTGTTTACAACACATTGGAAAAACAAAGAAAAAGTGATTTCACATATCAATCGTACAAAAACATAAAGATTAAAGATTAAACTTTACTAGCCTTGTATATCCTCGATCCGTTGATATAACTCAAGTGTTTAAACCTCGTCGACAGCAAAACTTGTCGTGCTAGCTGATATATAGCTTTGTAAATGGAATGGAAACAGAACCCAACTTTCAATGGAAAAGAAATTTATGTATTGGTAATAAGAAATGGTTTTATTAATTATTTGATTTAAAATAAAATTTTGTCGTTATGTTTCTGGCTGCATTACACTGTTGCATTTATTAAAGCAACCCAACCCAACAATTGACACAAGACATTTTGAAACAAGTTGGGACTTGATACAGTAAATTGGCTGAATAAAAGTATTAAAATCATTAAAAGTAGGGATGATTTAGACTTTCTTTTTTAGTCGAGGTTGCTTAACTGGGACCATACAATACACCTTCCTTTTCTTCATAAAATGAACTTTCCATCGGTAGTTGTTCTCTCCGTGCTTTCCGAGCTTCTATGGACAGCGATCCGTTACGTCGCTCTTCCGAATAATTCGGTGTTCATCCATTTTATCGACGTATATTAAATTGTTAAACTTTTACGACGAAATTTCTAAACAAAACTAACCTTACCTAACATTCGTTTTTCTTCTTTTTCATAAGATGAACTTTCCATCGGCAGCTGTTCTTTGAAAAGTTACCTTGCAAAAACTTTCTTTTACGGTATAATTGACATTTCAAAAGAAAACTCATCGTGCTCAATACCATCCCAAGGATGTGTAAGTTTCTTCCACTTCATTAGCTTTAAATCTTACCGATCACATCCAAGTTATTCTGTTAATATCAGTGGCAGAAATGTACAAGACATTGTTTCATAAGCATTGATCGGACCCTCACACCACAATCCCACGTACACACGTGAGTTGGTTAACATTTCTCCTTGTAGTTTAACGATTACCCGATTGTAGCACGTGCTTGTTATATGAAACTCGTGACTTTGAGCTAATTAATAATATAATTTATCCTTCATGATATTTGATTCTTGAACGATTTGATGACGTCAATTAAAATTAATTGTTTTATTAAGCAAACAATATTTTAACATAGAATTTTTCCAGTAAATCTCGAAAAAGATCATATGAATCATCGCACGATGACGACGATCAGAACGTGGTATCAATGTCTTGGACAAAAAGTAGATCGAACGTTAAACTAACGGTAGCGCCAAAAACCGATTACGAAAATGTTCAACCGAATACGAAGTTAGTTTCGGTACAGATATTGAACCCTGTACCGCAAAGACCGCTTACAAAGTTCGTTCGTCTGTTTCATTGCTTAGCCAAAATGACATGGGACGAGGAAAAACGGACTCAACAAGGAGCGACGACGGCGATAACCACATCAATTGGAAATTTGAAAAAGGGAAACGTCGGCGTCGTCGACGACGGATTTTGTCCGGAGGAATTGAGCTCGTTAGCTTCAGGGGAAATCAGCAACAGCAGCCTGAAGAACATCGACGGGGGGTCGTTTAAAGATGAAGTCGTTTATGTATTAGCTTCTAGGTAAGATCATTTAAAAGTTAAATCGAAACAAAGCTAACAAAGATGAGTTGAAGGCTGTTTCGCAATGACATCTATGGTTAAGTAAAAATTATTATTAAAAAGAATTAAAATTTGAATATGTCTAGTACCACAAAAAAACTTAATCTTACAATTAGTTTCAAGGTGGTAAACAAGATTAAAATAGTCTGTATACATAGGAAATGATTATTTTTGTCGGTGAATTACAACAAATTAACTATGAGTAATTTAAATAATTGGTTATGATTTAAGCTATTGAATAATTAAATTTATTTTTATATATTTATTATTTTCTAATATATTAACTTATATTAGAACACCATTGAAAAGTCAACGGTTATTTATTTCGTTAAAACATTGCTTTTAACGATGTTTAATCCACCAAATGTCAGTGGTGAAATGTTCCTAATTCCCCATTTAATCGAAATTCCTAGTAATGATCGATTTAATCCGGAATTTCGTCCTCAAATTCGCTTTGATAATGTTCCATTAACGTCAAATAATCCGTACATCTCCTTTAACATTTCTATTTTATTACTTATTTGTGTAAGTTTAATAAAGCATATTTAGTAACAAATACATGTTGAATTTTAGGGTTTTTATAAAACACCTAAAATCTCGTATATGGCTGTAAATACGTTAGATTATCACTTAAGTAGATGAATTAATTGTAAATCAACTAGTCGTTTATAAATAAATGTATCTATTGCTGTATGCTATTACATTAAAACAGGGTAAATTAAAAATAATGCAACTAATAGCATATCTGTTCCTCAATATTGTTAATAATTCCGTAATTTTTTTTCCAAGACACTTTATAAGACATTTATTTTTAACACTGTTAATTAAAAAAATTAATTGTTCACTTAAAATGTTGTTAAAGAAATCTAAATGTAATAATAAATGTGATACGATGTGATAAGTTGTGTAAAATTTAATGTGAAAATAAATTATTTTCTTTCCGTTAATTTTGCATTTTTATTAACAATTATTTTTATTTATAAATTTATTAACTTTTTTTTTCCGCCATCTATCGTCTATTTTCTCAATTAATTCCAACATAGAAATATTTACTTGAATTTTATTCAAATCAAAAATGTTACCTTTAATTCAAAAGTAATTAAATAATATTAAACTAATTGTATATAATTATTTTTCTTTTTAATTTTTAATTAAATCGCCAAAAATAAAGATTAACTAAATTATTTCACAATTAATTATTACAACCATGAAGAGATGGCGCTATAAACGTTTCGAAATCAATTATATTTTATTTTTAAATTGTTAATATTAACTAAAATTAAAACATATACTATATTGTTACCAATTTTTTTAACTATTAATAATTTATATCAACAAAATTAAAAATAGATTCAATTTTTTTAGAATAATTAATTAATTGTCACGGACATAAAGAGATGGAGCTGTAAACGTTTTATAAGTTGAAAATGACAGATTAGCCGATTAGCACAACTGAAAGTATCAAAATTAAATAAAACAGAAGTGATTTGTATGTTACAAACCAGTTTTCAAAGGAATATTTTAAAAGTTCGAGGTGAATTTCTGAAAAATTAGTGCAACTCGAGGAAAACAAAATAATTTTTAAAGATACAACTTGGATACAACAATCAATCAATTTTTTATAATTGCCATAAAAGCGATTATAAGCTTAATAAGCGAAGTGAAGGTAAGTCGATTTTTATTAAATATACCCATTTTAAGTCGTAATTCAAATAAGTAATCTAATTCCATCTAATTCAAGAAAAAATTGAGGTTAAGAAAGTTTACATCAATTTATTTCATTTTATTACGTAAAGATGGCGGTAATTAATTATTGATTAAAAAAACGATTCTATTTTTTTATTATAAATTAATTGTATCAATTAAATTGATTGTATTCGTAATTAATTAAATTAATAATTTATTTAAATAAATAAAATGGTAATAAAAAATTGCTATACAAAATGTTAACATACATAGTTAAAGTGCAAGAGGATAGATGGCAGTAATCAACACTTTTATGTCTTTTATGGTTTCAAAATTTAAGAGTTTACGGTTATTTTGCGTGTACAAAGATGAAATAACCTTGCATAAAAGTCATAAAGATGACTAAAACAGATTGTAACGTAGCTAGTTTGCAATTTAATAGCCATATAAAAACCAATAAACACAGTAAAGAATAATAAAACCATGAGGGTGTAAACTTATCGCATATAAAAGTTGCATCCCCAACAAAGCACGCTAAAATCAAAGTTTTTTTATTATTTATTGATTCCATTCAACAACAAACATTCATAGTTTAATGTACAACCTTAATATAATCGCTAACAATTTGTTTACATACAAAAATACATCGAATTACATCTAAACGAATCATCAGTCTTTTTTAACATACAAAAAAATTTGTTTACGGAACTTGAATAATAATCCCATCATTTCTTGAGTTTCTATCGTTTTCTTTAACAAACTCCAATTGGGAACAACTTCCACTACGATCAACTTCACATTTACCATTAAATTCATTCCATCGATTAGAAACGCACAAATTTTCGCCATAAATTATTTGTGGCATCGTGCAAGATTTCGTCATGGAACCACCTTCTTCGTTGTTAAAAGATCTGTTAAAAACCAAATTTAAACCATCCTTTTTCTTCAAGATTTTCATTTGTCCTTCTTGGAAAATCTCAATGTCCTCAATCCGCGAGGAACAACAAACGTGTTTCGGCTCCAATTGAACTTGAGTTTCATCGTCGAAAAGTGAATTTCGAAAATAAACGTTGTCGTTTGATGTCGGTGGTAATTTTAAGTTATCAAGTGCTTCTTGGAGATCAACATCGAAAAATACTTGCTTAGAGTTGGTCCTTTTGGAGGAATGAGTTGGTCGTTTTCGTTTAAATGAAACGACTAATGGGCGTTTTGAATTTTTTAAACGTCCACTGATGTCCGAATCGAGGTATCTTAAAGAACTTTGTCGGCTGCAGGAGTCCGTGTTACTGTGACTGTTAATTTGGGATGATCTACCTGATAGCGTAGTGTAACATCTAGTGCTTCCTTTTGGGCGTCTCTTTCTACGAAAAAAACGATTAAATGTATCCTAAAAAAGAAAAAAAAATGTATAAGAATTATGGTTTGGTTTAATTAGGAAAGAAAATAAAATAAAAAATATTTAAGAGTGTATTCTTCTCACTCTCTCCCACAAACGTAGAGATTGTGAAATTGGAATAACTACATACATGGAAAAAATAGTTAGAAGGAAGACATCATCGTATAGATCACCCGTTCAACACATTAAAGACATTCCTCGAGTTTCGCAATACCTCCTCCTGCAAGAACAGAAAATGTTTCCTACTGTAGTTGATTCAGCTTAGGCACAGTGCAGTTAACTCAGGTAAGATGTCCAAAATGTTGATTGTATTATAGACAAGACCACGCATAACAAAGTCACTGAAGTATGTACTGACAAACACATTAAGTTCAACCATGTTATCAACAAACATAACGTGTCCCACACGTTGTTATGAAAGATGAGGTCCATTAATGAAGACCAATGAAACACGGTTGAGTAGAAGCAATCATGGGCAAAATCAATATTTTACTCGAAGTTAATCGTAATACATCAAAAACTAACACTTTCCCCACAAAGCCATTGTAGAAAGCTCGATTCCAAGAAATTAAAACCAACGCAAGCTGAGAATGGGGTGCAATACTTTGACGTGACAGCTTATCATTTCGTGACCTATAATTATAACTACGCTGAACAACACGATTTTATTTTTTACTTTTATGATATGGTTAATTATAACAGTATTAGAAGGGCACAAATTTCAACAAAGATTAGGAACGAAATAAAATATGGGAAAACCAACATAAAGTGTAAATATTCGACTGATAATAATATGAAAGTAAAGTTTTCTTTGCCATGCATGTCTCAGAGAGAAGGATAAGATCATGTTTATCTTGGGATATAAATATTTGATGCTTTTTTGTTTAAATTTGAAATTAAAATAAACCGTAAGCAAATTTTTCCATTTTCTTTGGCACCTTTTTATCCGAAAAACTTTATTATTCAACCATTCAACCGGACCATTTGTAATATTTAGGACGCATAAAAATGTATTAACCATACCCAACCGTGCTGAGTTTATCGTTTCCCAAACGTATTTTACAACCCTTCATCCAAAAATAGAACGGAACGCGTACATAAATTTCCCTAAAAAATAAAGAAGCCCTCCATCAAATTTTCTAAAAAGCTTCCGGATTAATTATTATATAAAAATAATCATAAATTTCATAATTTTTGTATTTATTACTAAGATGACTGAACGTTATTTATATTATTTACTATACTTACTTTAAAAGCTTCTCGGAATCGATGTGACATAATGTGATAGAGCAATGGGTTGATTGTAGTTGATAAAAAGTAGAGGATACCGCTGGCGTAAGTCAACACCCGAAATGCGGTTATCATGTCTGAAGTTCTCGGGTCTCCGTAAATAGCCAGAAGTCGTTGAGCATGAAACGGAGCCCAACAGATGAAGAAAGCAACTACAACTGCAACTATAAAACAAGAATTGTTTGTTTATTTACATTAAAACTAGCACACTAGCGTTTTGGGTTTAGCCGGGCGTCTCTTAAGACGGCTAAATCCGTATGTTTCTAGTTCTAAGTCTAGTGTTATTTCTAGTTTTGTAAATTTCTTATTAACAAAAATTACAGACTCACCAAGCATTTTTACAACATGTTTCGTAGCTTGAGCATTTCTGGAAAAATTTTTCCTCCCCTCCTCTTCTTGTCTTTCGACGTCATTTTCTCCGTTTACAATAAGCACCGCCTGCGGTATACTGCTCGAATAAGCAACGGTTGGTTTACATATTCGATGTTTCAATTTCACACTATTCGATCTTATCGAAGGTCTAACAGTTGTCGATCGGTATAATTGTAAACCAATCAAAACATACAAAGCCGTTATGACACTCATTGGAAACACGAAGAAAACGAATGTTGATATTTCAAAGGCATGGGGAACGATGATCCTTTTAACACTGCATACGTAATGATCTTCCCGTCGCCGCTGAAACGAATCTTCCTCGTAAACGATTCCGAACGAGATTGCTTGTGGTATTGCTAAAAACATAGCTATAAACCAAATTCCCATAACGAATTTTATTGCTCGTGATAATTTGGACATGGTGTGTGATAAAAAAGGATGACAAATTGCAACGTAACGTTCAACTGTGAACGCCGTAATCGTTAAAACTGTTGCGTTCGCCGATGTTTCAGCTGCAAATCCTTGTAAAACACAAAAAGCTTCGCCGAAAATGTATGGATATTTTGACCAAACTGAATAAATTTCAGGTGGTAACCCAGAAATTAATAGCAAAAGATCAGATATTGCTAAACTAAATAAATAATAATTCGTCGCAGTGTGCATACATTTATTTCTTGCTATTACGATGCACGTGCTTATGTTTCCGATGACACCAACAAAGAATATTATCGTGTAGATGATCGTAATTGGAATTACGATGTAAAGGGGATCGCGTTTTGGTCCCCAATCTCTTAAATTGTTTTGCGATCGTTGTATCGAAGATAAATTTAAGATTGTTGCGGTAGAAATCGATGCGTTTATCTCTGTCGATGTCCATTTTAAAGCCGGGATTTCACTCAGAGAATGGGAGTTGTCGAGAATCGATTGAAACATGATTGGATGATTTTTTACATTATCTGTAAAGAAAAAGTTTAATTCATTAAAATTTTAATTATTTTTTTATTTTATACAATCAACACAACCTTTAATTTTATTTTATTGCTTACAGCGAACTTTGGGGCTTATTAAAATTCGCTTATTATGTATTTTCGGGTTTACTTAGGTTTATTTACAATTTTTATACGTACGAAAAACATTTTAAATTGATGTTAAATTGGAAGTTCACAAAGATTGGCTTTTAGCAAGTTTCATTTTGTGCTTTCTACAAAATTTATAGGGTCCCTGGCGGGTCAAAGGATTATTGGAAAGTACTACCTAGAAAAATAGGATTTTCTACGAAAAATGGGACGAACCTTAATATACATACGAGGATCCTTTTTTTATAAAAGACTTGTCTATTCAAAAAAGACACAATTTATCTGGAAGGATTTTAAAATATTGCGAATATTACGGATACACAATGAGATGTGGAGATTGAAGAAAATCTCCATAACGTAACGGACGTGACGCAATCTCGGAAGTTCTCTATTTTGATAAGTTTGAATTGATTTTTAGATGGATTTCGTCAATGTCAACGAAGAAAAAAACTCCTTATCGTATTTTCCACTTGTCTGAATCAATTCTTTTTGGTAACTTTTTTCATATTCACCTTATTTTTAAGAAAATAAAAAATTAATTTAATCAATTTAAATTTAATTTCGCAATATTTCAACGTTCAACTTTAAATTTTAAATTAAATCAAAACCTGTTGCGTACAAAACTTTTTTTGCGCCCTCGAAAAACACAAAGTACACACTAAATTAATTAAGAACACATTATGTCGAATTTAGCATATAGATTGGTTCTCTTCTCCCCGGCATAGCGACACCCAACAAATTTATTTATTCCCCCTTAATCTTTCTTCTATTTCACGTTTTTCTACCACCTATTTTTCTTTTTTATTTGCTTTTTTAACGAAGGCATAATTAAATTTCTTCCCCGCATTTTTCGTTGTTTAATTTTCATTCCAACGGCACTCGTTTGATCTAAAAGAGAAATGAGATATATATTTACAAAATAATATTGCATCTTTTGGTATCAATGTGAAAACTAAAAGTAGAATTCCCCCCTTTTGCGCGTAATTAAACTTGAAGCTATTTAACGGACGGAACTTCCTGTGGCGGTTTTATTTTGTTCCCGATGAAAACGATCGTCAGTGCACTGAAGGATCGTATTTATCGTCGGAAAATAAAGCCCAGATGGTTCAACCAGTAAGGGTTCCTGTTCATATACGCCAGAAATTTTCGACTTTATCCCGGTCATCCTAACATACCCCGAGGGAAAATGATCCGGTCTAAATAAAGACGGAAATGTCTCTAGTACGTGTTTTCTATATTTCAACGAACGAGGTTTGCTATAATTGTTCTTCCACCATAATAAAAAACAAAACCAAAGGTTTCACCAATAAAGAAAAAACCCATGGAAGAGATGAAGTGTCGTAATGGATTTTCTAAGTATGTCGTTAAATTTACGATCTATTATAATCCCTTTTTTCGTTTTCTTTCTTTTTTTTTATTTCCTTTTCCTGTTTATTCTATTACTTACCATAAACTTGTTTTATGATATAGAGAAACTTAAAAGAAAATTAAATGTTTTTGTACAAATTCTCTATGAATCGTCTGAAGATGCACGGATAACCCGAAACTTTCTAATTCTAGGTCTAGTGTTAGTTCTAGTTTTAGTTCAATAGAAAAAATACAATAATCCAACCCTGAATAACAACTAAAACTAGAATTAATACTAGCATTAGAACCAACACTACATCTAGAACTACTTCCGTGATATCCAGATTTTACTGTATTAAACGATTGAAAAGCGCATTTCCCGGAGTGCTTCTATCCTATCCCTTTTTACATCCATTCAGCGTTAAAAGTTCCTTAATAGCTCGGTAAATTTGCATCACTTCCGATGTTGAAAACGTATCTGTTACACGAGTGATTTACCGGAAAGCTAGTTTCTATACATTATGCATTCGAATACTTTAGTTGTAAATTTCGAAAAAAACTTTTTTGTTTCCAATAGAAACACGTAATTTGAAATGCTTTTAAATTCTGAATGGCAATCGACTATATTCGAGTAGAATTAAACACATTCTCGCAACAATTAATTAGTTACTATTAGTTATTGGAGTCCATTCCTATTGTTAAAATAGCCGGTTCCGTAATGGATTGTTTCAAAATCTAATTATTGATTTCACAAATTGCATTGGACACTTTAGAGAGACCGAATTTATCGGGGTGGAAAATCATAGCGTGCGTAATAAACTTTAAAACCTCGTCGACTTTGCAAGCTTTGTTGATATCTACGTTCCAAGTAAAGAAATCGCTAGCGTTAGGAATTGCAGTTGTACTTTTCAGTTTTACGAGTTCTATTTTAGAGGAACAAGGACGCTAAATCGTGTGTGTAATTTTTAAAAGAATTCCACATAAAGCTGACTATAAGCTGACTATTAACTTCCACCTAAATGTTTCCCGTATACAATTATTTACCAATGGATCGATAATGCATCGAGTTAGGACTACATTGTTGTTAATCCAATTACAGCCAAGAAAGGAAATGATCCGTTTGAAATGATTTGACACTCAAAATCAAGTGATTAGTAAATTAAGTCATGATTGGGGAGATGTTAAGGATAGAATATTACAAGACAAAGATTTATAACGCTTTAATTGAGCCTATACTTACCTATGGCATTGAAAGCTAGGCTGCAAATAGAAATGACATCGATTGGGGTAATTAGGTCCAAATGAAATACTTCCGGAGGCTTGCAGGAAGACACGACAGGACAAAGTGTTTCAGAAAATCCCAGTATAAACGTTTTTAAATGTTAAGTTACAAGTTCATGATTTTATTCATCAAAACGAGGGATAATACAACCAGGATAATACTGAAGTATGACTGTTATTGTTTCCTAAGCAGTGAAATTAAAGATGATAATACACTAACAACCTCGGGTTGGGTCTGAACACCGCGACAGAACAAACACCTGTCCTTCTGTGCATTGTTTTGATATAAATTAGGACAGCGGCTATTAAATTATGCTTTAAATTAGAATAAATAACAAATTATTCACAGTGGCGCAAAAAAATTCATCGAAAATTTTATGAAAAGAGTGAAGGTGTTAATGGGATGTAGTCATTAATCTGTTGGTTACAAGCTGTATTAGCAAATTATAATTTTTAAGAACAATTAATCAGATTTGGTTTCACATTTGCATGATTTCTTGTACTCGTATTTCATCATAGATTTATCTTGAGGTCGACGCGGATAAATTCGATATTCGCCAGAAGGTTAATTGGGTATTTGTCTTTACGAGGACACTTAAGGTGAAGTTACAGCTGGAATTTCGGACGAAATTGTCCATTACATTGAAACGATCCCTCTCAAAATAATAACCCGTCTTTAAATTTAAACCGTATTTATTAGTGTGTAGATTTGAACTGGATTTCTTGGAACAATTTCGCCCCGAGTCTTCGGTATTTTTATGCAAATCAACTCAAAAGGGGTTATGTTAGGTTGTAATTTTAGTAATTAACGCGTAATTAAGACTTATTATGATTGCTTTCTTACTAGGATGGCAACAAAGTGGATTGAAGAGATGTTGTTTAATACCCGTCATAAAGTTAGTTTATTGCGAGGCGGTTTTATGTTTATTTTTAGGTTTTTATGGTAAACATTAAAAATGTAAATTAATAATTATTAAAAAATAAATTTAGATTGAGTAATAGATCTCAAAAGATTTATTATATACTAAATTTTCAAGTTAAATTGAATACAATAAAACACCGATATTAGAAAAAGAAGCTGTAACTAAAATCTAACTTGATTTATTTTATGTTTTATTTTACGATGAATCGATTTCTTTGTATTACCATAGAATATTACATCCTTTTTTTAGTAGCTTCCTGAGGGAGCTTTATTCTGTAGTTCGAAGCTTGAATCCTGACCTGATTTTTCGATTTCTTTGTTTGGAAATGTTAGCGCGTCTCTATTATTATATCTTTTAAGCTCAATAATAAAATGTAAGGTAAAAGAAAAAAAGCTAGGTTTTAAGCGTTTATAATTCTGTGGGGGGATTAAAAATTTTTCGTTAAAACGCGACAAAAAAGATCTTTAGGGAGGAAAATTTTCATATGAATGACGTCCACGATGGAAAATCCGCAAGATAAAAAGTTACAGAAGTAAAAACATTTTCACTTAAATTGGCTACTTTGATGTGTTTTGGTACTAACGAGTTTCTTTGATAAAAAAATTTATACGTATTTACAAAAAAAAACTAATTCATTAGCGTTGTATTAAAAAGGTTTAAATTGTTTATCTTAAATCATTAAATTTATTTTTAAATTTGTTTTGAAATCATAACGTTCGTATTCTATATACACTTTTAACAGCAAGAACCAAGAAAGGTTTCCTTTGTGTACTTTTCGAACTAAAAAAGAAAAGTTAAAAACGAAACTAAATTCTGTTTTCCTCCTTTTATGCTTTATTCCCAAGAAATTTTATTTTCCTTGGAGGGTTCGTTTATTATTATTACTTCGTCAATCGGTGACACGAAATACCATTACTCAAACATTATTGATTATAAGTTGACGCTGAGTTATTTAAGGTAAATTTAGAAAGCTTTTTAGTCGTTAATGGTTAATAAATGAAAAGGTATTAGCGTAAAGATCAAATTTCTATTAAAAAATATATTAATAAAATCATAATATCTCATAATTAATGAGATACGATTTAAGGTTTACGTAATCCATCATCGATTACCACTTATTAGTAACCCTTCATTTGTAAACGCACATGCACGCTTTGCTCCATTAATCTTGGTATTTCAGGCAAAGGCTGCATAACTTTGATAAGCTTTGACCGAACATAATATTCCAGAAATTTGAATTGTTATCTTAATGAAAAATAAATCAAAACATATTGTTTAAACTTTTATTTAAACACAAACATATCGAACCTAACCTAAATCAACCCGTAA